ACATATTCTGCCTGCAGCCGGGTTTGGCAATGGTATGGCAGCTGCTATATTGCCAACTTGGAATGGCGAGTGCTCTCGTTCCAAGAACAGAGGTCGAGCCGTCATGTGGCAACTTAATATTAACCTGGTATGCCAGCGTGCATTTGCAGCAACCTACCAGAAATCATCAGCTAATCTCTGCAGTTCGGGATTGCCCTAGCATACTGGGTCGACTATGGCCTGGCAGCCTCCTCTAGTACCAGTAACAATGGTTGGGCATGGAGGCTACCACTGGGGCTACAGTCCGCTTTCTCGGCTGTGACGATTATTATGGCCCTCTTTCTTCCGGGTAAGTGGCAATACACTGATATCGAAAACAGTGTACCGGAAGACTGATGTGCAATTTATTTGATATATCAGAATCCCCTCGAGTTCTGATGCGCAACGGAAAAGTTGATGAGGCACGCGACGTTGTTGATATGTTGTCGTTGGAAGACGATCCTGCTACACGCGCTGCTGAAGTTGTTCGTATACCACATGAGGTGATAAGATCCTTTGCTAAACACAGTCGCTAATATCACGGGATTGATCCAGTGCACCGTTGTGTCTCTGATCGAGAACGCACTCCAAGAAGATTCCCAAAGTGATTCTAAATGGCAAGCTATCTTCACTCAGGGAAGGCCCCGGTTCTTCCAGCGACTCGTCTTGTCTGCATTTGTGATGTGCATGTACCAGCTTACAGGTGTCAATCTTATTACATATTATGTGTAAGTCCAGCTATCGATCTTTTGTCTGGAAACCCTCAATCTCTTGAAATATATTGTGACAATCACCCGCTTACCACATCACGTTTGAATACTACAGTCCCGTTATTTTTCAAAACACACTGAAGTTTTCCCGACATCTCAGTTTGCTGATGTCCGGCTTCGTCGGCCTGGAATTCTGGATTGCGAGCTTCATTCCAATCCCCCTCATCGACAGACTTGGGCGTCGACCTTTGCTGCTTTTCGGGGCGGTTGGGCAGTGTGTCAGCATGGCTCTTCTCGCCGCCACGGTTGCGTATCCAGGCAATAAAGCATGCGGATACGTGTCCGTAGTTTGTGTCTTGTGAGTCATTCTGTCTGTAGATATTTATTTGTTTACATCGCTGACGTCTGAATGTCTAGCATCTTCAACACTGTCTGTGCCATCGGCACCAACGGGTTGGCCTTCTTGCTACCCGTCGAGTTAACACCGCTGCAAACGCGTGGAACATCCGTCGCCATCTCCACCGGCTTCTTCTGGCTCTGTAATTTCTTTGTTGTTATGATATCCCCTGTCCTTATTTCTCGCATTCAGTATGGTACTTATATCCTGTGGGCATGTACGAACCTGTCTTTCATCCCAGTGATATACTTTTTCAGTAAGTATTCCTGCATCGTACGCTACGGATTGGATTTCTCGAGTTTGAACCCTATCTTAACATTTTGACACCACAGTTCCCGAAACCCGCAAGGCGTCTCTTGAAGATATTGATGTCTTGTTTGAGACCAATCCTAAATGGCTCATTGGCCCACAGTCCAAGAAGAAGATGGCGAAAATCACCCAAGATGCTTCGGTGCTTACTGACGCTGTTCTACATGGGCGGAAGGAAAGTGCTCCTACGGTGGACATGGTTGAAAACGCCTCCTCCAAATGATATCATCCACGTCGCTTATTAAATAATGGCCAGGCTCGGGTGTTTTATGACCGAAAAGGGCGGGAACCTTGGGCCTCGTAAACTTCAATGCAACTTTATATTAGGCATGTACAATGTACATAGATCGTATTGTTCGACAATAAAGCAAGTGGATTCATACTATAAAGTACTGTGGGTCTTTTTGAACTCACCTCTTTTCCAAACGTGTACGCCAAGTCCATGTCTCTTGTGCCTGTAGGAGTACAACATGTTGTTAGAAGGGGAATCCGCGACCCTTTTCTGATGACATTAAACTCATCAGTAGTAAGTTAGTCAAAGATATGTCAATATGACTAATTATGCTTGTTAGGCAAGTATCATCATTGTGGGGGCAGTGCATTTCTCACGGGAACGTAGCCGAGGAGTCATCGAGGCGAGGGTCACTGGTCTCGAAGCGAGGCACTATTCCGACCATGGCCAACAACCAGAACCCTATGGAAATACTAGTACTGCGTTTAACATCTGGCTACACTATGGTTAGTCGCCTCACTGACAGTTGATTGACTTCGTCTCGATCCAGAATCGACATGACCCATTACTTGGTCAGTGCCTCAAATCTGGGGCATATGGCATATCGGGATGAATGGCATGAGGTATAAGAATACTGCCATCTCGATGTCTTTGGCCTGACAATCTCAAATTCACTATCATAGCCTTTTTGTTAAGAGCAAGAGATTCTTGATTTCGCTGTTAGCCTTAACATACTGGCTATGGCGCCCGCACTAGAACTTACAGAGAAGCCCATCCAGAGTCTGCCCACCAAAGCAGTCTCCGGTATTCGCAATGGAGCTTCAGCCGGTGTCGGTATCGGTCTCGAAAGCCCAGAGAAGCACCAGCGTGTGATGAATGTTTTTCGGGCCTTCATTGCTGATCTTGCCCAGCAGTATGGAGAAGGTCACGCTGGGTGAGTCAGCTCCATATCCTGTATATCCTAGTTGACAACATGGGAATGGCGCTAACCAAGCTCAACAGAGCCCCGATGGGTATGGCTGCCATTGGTATCGCCTTGTATAAATATGTCATGAAGTATTCCCCAAAGAACTGCAACTACTTCAATCGCGACCGTTTTGTCCTCTCAAATGGTAAGTCTGTGGGCGTTGTTCCGGCCGAGCTATCTGACTATACTCAAATTGTGGCTAAAACGGAACTATTGTAGGCCATGCCTGCCTATGGCAATATTTGTTTATGCACCTTATTGGTGTTCCGAGCATGACACACGATCAGCTCAAGACATACCACTCCGCGAGACTTGACTCGCTCTGCCCCGGTCATCCCGAAATCGAGATTGAAGGCGTAGAGGTCACAACGGGTCCTCTCGGCCAGGGTGTTGCTAATGCCGTTGGACTCGCCATGGCCACTAAGAATCTGGCCGCTACATACAACCGACCTGGCCACGAAGTGGTAAATAACATGACCTGGTGCATGGTCGGTGACGCTTGCCTTCAGGAAGGTGTCGGTCTCGAAGCGCTCTCCCTCGCTGGCCACTGGAAGCTGAACAATCTATGTGTCATCTTCGACAATAACAACGTTACGTGCGATGGAAGTGCAGACGTTGCTAACACTGAGGATATGAATATGAAGATGCGAGCTACTGGTTTCAATGTGGTAGACGTGTACAATGGGGACACAGATGTTGCCGGTAGGTCTCCCAACCGTTGACTTGGTGTGAAGAGTCAGTCTGCTAATGCGATTTAGCCGTCGTGAACGCGCTTAATGCCGCTCGCTATAGCGATAAGCCAACATTCCTAAACGTCCGCACCGTGATTGGTATTGGATCCGCCAAGGCCGGCACGGCTGATGTACACGGATCTGCCTTGGGTGTTGAGGAAGTGGCTAACGTCAAGAGATCGTTCGGCCTCGACCCTAACGAACACTTCTACATCCCAGAGGATGTCTATGACTTCTTCGGTGATATACCTGGCCGTGGCGAGGCTCATGAAGCGAGCTGGCATGCGGCCGTTGCCAAGTACCGTGAAGAATACCCCGAGCTGGCCGCTGAATTTGCGCGCCGTGTTGCAGGAAAGCTTCCAGAAGACTGGAACAAGTACATCCCCGACAAGGAAGAGCAGCCTACCGCGTCCACTGCCTCAAGGAAATCTGCTGGTGTGATAACCAATGCCCTGGGACAGAACATCAATTCGTTCCTGATCGGGACTGGGGATCTTATACCCTCCTGCAATGTCGCCTACAAGAACAAGGTCGACTTCCAGTCTGTACGTGCCACTAGCTTCCTTTCCTGATGATAATTTCAGTCACTTACATGCACTGCAGCCCGACCTCCAAACCATGTGTGGTCTTACCGGAGACTACAGCGGTAGGTACATTCACTATGGTATCCGGGAGCATGCCATGTGCGCTATCTCCAATGGGCTTGCTGCATTCAACAGAGGCACCTTCATCCCCATGACGAGCACATACTTTGTCTTCCACTTGTACGCCGCTGCCGCTATCCGCATGGCCGCACTGCAAGGCCTCCAGCAGATCCACATCGCCACCCACGACAGCATCGGAGTTGGCGAGAACGGACCTACCCACCAGCCCATCGCCGTTGCTGCGCTTTGGCGCGCTATGCCTAACCTCCTCTATATCCGCCCATGCGATGCCGAAGAAGTTGCAGGCGCTTACAATGCCGCCATTCGGGCAACTGAGACACCGACTGTCATCTCACTGTCCCGTCAAGGTTTGACACAGTATCCTCAATATTCCTCGCGGGAAGGTGTAATCAGAGGTGCGTATGTTTTCGCTGAGGTGGAGGGTGACGATTTCGATGTTACTATTATCGGTGTCGGCTCGGAGATGGTATATGCCATGCAGACCCGGGAATTGCTTCTCAAGGAATACGGCCTCCGGGCACGAATTGTCTCCTTCCCTTGCACAAGACTTTTCGAGCAACAGTCTCGAGAATACAAGCACTCTGTATTGAAGCCCCGCGCCGGCAAGCCGACTGTCGTGATTGAGGCTTACCCGTCTAACGGATGGGAGCGCTATGCAGATGCATCGGTGTCCATGAACTACTTTGGAAAGAGTTTGCCTTCGAAGGATGCATATGCTCATTTCGGATTTGTGCCGGATCTCATCGCCGTTAAAATCAAGGACCTGGTGGAGGAAGTCAGACGGGACGGAATTGAGGTCTTGAGGGGCGACTTTAGGGAGTTCAACGGGAGCCACTGGATTGAACTTGAGCATTAGAACCGTTTATGACTTCTTCAATGACATGTAACTTCTCTATACATATTGCGATCAAGATTGTCTGTAAGAGGCGACGATCCGATCGTGCTTCCTCGATAACCGTCACTGCGAACAAGGACACAATTCTCAGCTTGCAAAATGTAGGTTTACTAAACTCAGTGGGAAGATAAGCAAATCAAGATAACGCCAAATCAGGTACTGTACACGATGGAAGAAACAAATCCGCTAGAGTGTGAGTGTAATGAAGCAGTGTACATATGCATCTCTAAGGATGCTTGAAAGTTGCATTGAGCTGAGTAAGCAATCCCTAGATCCTATCGTCCCGGGCTCCCTCCAATGCTTGGAGAAATCTTTCGATTTGTTAGATCGACTTATATTTCATATTTTGGGGGTAGCATCTGTTGGACCACATCAAATGCGGGGGGCTCATCGATATAATATGTCTCCATCAGGTCGACATCATCGGCTAGCTTGTGTATTCGGAGCGGATAAGTGGCACCGTACAACTTGGCGATGCGTTTCCGGACCAGTAACTTATTCGTTCTGGTGCTGAAGGTATCCTCCCGGGTTATAAGCTCGATCTTTAGTTCGTGGCTGACAGCTATTCCAGGACCGTCGGCCAGTGAGCAACCACTCTGTCGATCATCGCTGGCACAATAGCTCTCACATATTTCGTCTGCTGGTTTTGCACTTTCTGGAATCTTGATGTCAAATTCGACTCGAAAGCGGTCATCACGCAGGCAATCCTGATCGGAGCGCCGGAATATAGCTTTTGGGCGACGGAAATCAAGCACTCCCTCTATCAATGAGCGTCTCGATGCCGTATTAGTGTTGGCAAGAGCTTGCAGTTCACCACGGGCTGTATTGCGGTGCACAGCTACTTCGTCGACCCTCCACTTGATTGCTGTGATGGCTATATGTTTCGTTTCATCCACTCGGACACCTGGTGTCAACATATTCCGCGTTGCTAGTTCCACAGAAAACATCGCTTTGGTGGTCTCATTGCTTGGTCGTTGCTGTGCTATCGTAGTCTGGATCACCAGTGGGGAGGCAGTAAACCGTCGAAAATAGTTGTCAGGGGGAAGGACAGGTGGTATAAGACGATAAAGGACGGCAAGGGGCTTAGATATGCTCACTGTCCGTCCAAACGGAAGATCGATCGTGGCTTTGAGATCATAACAGACGGTACCGAGAGTTGTTTTCATCGTTGGAGGGAGGCAGTTTGGCACTGGAATATCAAAGTAGTATACCAGGCTATCTTCCGTGCTTGTAGTCCAACGTGAGGCGATCTTGTCAGATGCAGACCAAAGAACACAATCAAGGACTGTCTCTTCGTAAGCCGGTACTATCAACTGCTTTGTCGCGGACTCTCCATGTCGAAAAGGATTCCGCCGGCGACCCTTGATGTGTGCGCAAGATGAGCCATGATCATCGAAGTTGACTATCCGAACAAGACTAATTGTAATATTGGGTGCGCTATGTGTCAGGTCTAAGAAAATCTTGTTCGAAATTCCAAGAGAACCCGACAAAGGCAATGTATGGGGTTCGGTGCCTGGGCGGATGAAGATGATGTGGGATTGGGGCGTATCAAGATGTAGATGAGGGTTGATCATTTTGAGGAGATATCGATCAAACCGAAAGGGGTACGCTTCGCCAGGCAAAAAGACTGGATGCAAAAGCAATGGGAGCGCACCTCGATATGAGCGTCTCAGTAATCGTAATGCCATGCGATACTCGACAATTCCACTAGACCCGATAAGGAAGCCAAGCCGTAAGTTTAAGCTTTACATCCCCACAGTCTTGATGCCTGAGTCAGAAAAGGCCTGCACGACACTGGAATCACTTCATTCTCTGGACATTGTATGGAGAGATGTAAGCGATGTAAAGCGAGAAATCTGTCTGCTCCAATCAATTGCAAAATATCCCAAAGCCGTCGTTACTGCACTGCTCGCCCGCATCGCAATAATATCAGCCACAGCAAACATCGCTGAAGCGAATTCACGCAGGTATCATCCTTACACCAGGTGTCACCGGTGGATGGACAGTTGTTCTGTCTCTTCGACAGCGGAAGGCACCTAAAACCAGGCCGACATCGCAAAGAACGAGGAACTCATTCTGTCTGACGACCGCGCACTGCGCTCAATGAGCCGTGCCGGAGATAAATTCAGTCGTTGGGAGATATCGGCCGGAACGACCCTATGACAGAAGGAGAAGCGCATTGCAGGTCCAGAAATTGCACATCAAGCAAGGCTGGGGAGCGTATCAATGCTCGGGGTGAGAATGAGAGGGCTTAAACAATAACGGTGGTCTCAACTACCGGACGAGATGGAAGACGAGAGGTATAACGAAGAGGATGCACCCACACAGAAAATGTACCATCATTTCCAGAATGCTATGCGGTGGAGGCGTGGTATTCAAGCTCCATCCTGTGTTGCCCTTGAACGCCAAGACAATCCATTCCGTCGTCATTTCCTATGATCATCTCGATATCATGGAACACCAGATCCTTTACCTTGGAGCCCAGGCAAGCTATGGCTGCAAGAGGTACTCTTGGCCAGCCAACCATATGCCCTTAGAATGACATATTCCACGTTGCGCTGTCGGTAGACAACTGTCTCCAGGCAAATTGCGGCTCTATCAGAGGTTCTAGTTTTGAGATCGACCACCTTCTTGGGGCTCAAGGGACCCATTGCCAGCCTAATCCTCCCGTCCCCGTCTTTGGTGGGCTCACTAATTTGTTCGTATTGAGGGGATCGTCGCAGCGCCGTGTTGCCGTTCTGGCAATTTCGGATGGATTCCCTAGTGACAAGGTTTCGCCAAGAGCAAAGTGCTTGGTTGGACCCTGCGTATCATTTTCTCACTGTGGAGGCTGCAATCTTCTTTTAATCCAGCGGCTGCTTCTTGGCCTCTGTCTGATGGGGACTATCCCATGGCCTGTTTTATGGTCATCTGGGTCATCAAGGCTTCTCTCACTACCTAGGATGACGCTGATGATTCCTCTGTCATGGTCACTGGGTGGTGGCTGTGTAACGGTCTTGAGACGGCGCATCTCGCCTTGATATTCTTGACAGGGATTTTACTAGCTGCTTGATCTTATCGGAGCACATTCTCCGTCACGTATATGTTTCAGGGGCCCTGGAAATTTCAGAAGGATAATATGAAGGTGGACAAAACAGACTTGATAGTGTCATCGAAAGAGTAGTACTTTGGACCCGCTGATCATAACCATCACCAGATGGAGATTCTACTTATCAGCACTAGTTATGACCACTCTCAATAATAAGGAAAGGGCCGTTAAAGAGATGTTTACCCAGAAAGTGCATCACCCAATAAGTCCGTTGATTCATCGCATGTCACGCAATATTTTGAACTCAAGTTAAATGGCGTGTCCACCAATCCTCCTTCCGCTTGTAGGACTCGTAGATGGTCTTCTCGCCAACCCACCCATGGCCTTCATTCTCGAATTCGACCACTTCCGCGACACGTCCATGCACACGCATGGCGTTAGCCATCATTCTTGCCTGGGCCACGGGAACCACCATATCCGACGTCCCCTGTAGCAACAGCAGTGGGGCCTTCATTTTGTGGGCATAATTGCATGGGCTGCGATTTGTGAGCTCCTGCTCCCTGTCTTCCTTTGCAGTCTTGCTCAATAGTAATCGGTCCACATCCTGACTCTCAAACTTATAAGAATCAGCCTGGAGTGCCCTCACGTCGCTGATGCCGTAGGAGCTGACTCCTGCTGCCCAGACATCAGGATACATGTGCAGAGCCTGCAGCGTAAGGTAACCACCCGCACTGCCGCCGTAGATCCCTACGCGGGCTTTGTCGATCAACCCTTCATTAGCCAGAAATTCCACGGCACTAACTGCATCGCCTGTGTCCACGAGGCCCCAGTACCCGGAAAGTCGTTCTCGGTATTCCCGCCCAAAACCGGTCGAACCGGTATAGTTGAGGGCACAGACGGCGAATCCGCGCGTGGTCCAGTATTGGATTTCTAGGTTCAGCGCGGGAGTGACACATCCATTTGGTCCGCCGTGGACGTACACTAAAAGAGGTGGAAGATGTCCGTCGCACTCGAACTCGGGATTGCAAGGGGGGAAGTAGAACATGTGTACGTTTCCGTCACATCTAGGACCGTACTTCTGAGGGGCAGTGTATTCTTTCGCGGCAGAAACGTAATCTGGTGCCAGGTTGAATGATGCTGTTGATTTCAGGACGGTTGTAATCGGTTCAAATGAAGAGGTAAGCGAAATCAAACTGAGTTCCTGGGGAGACTTCGTTGAGGCGCCGACGACAACGAAGGAGCTGGATGAAGCGCGGAAAATACCATTGGCACGAACTCCGATGTCCACGTACTGAAGCCCCAGCTTTTTGACCGACAATGTGGGGATGTCGATAAGAACAAGCTCACTGGTGGCATGAGTAATAGCCGTCGCCACCATAGTCTTTTCGTCGAGTGATATATAGGTGGAACTGTGAATGTCAGTTGCCTTGATCAACTGGCAAGCGACGGAAGAGTTACCTGCCCAGCTCCCACTCGGCAGCGGCGAAGTCTGCATTCGCCAGGCCCTCCAGATATAGAGCGCGAACGGAAGTATCGTGTACGTTATATGAGTACAGCTGCAGATAGCCCGTACGATCGGATGCAAAGTACAGTGCTCCATCCAGCCCCCATTTCGGCTGAGCGATGCTTTCTTTCTGGTACTCCCCAGCGACCTTGGTTATATTCCTCAGACATCCACCCGCCCACTCGGCTACGTAAAGCACAGTTCCTGTCCAGGGCATGTCAGGATGAGTCCATTGGATCCATGAGACATGTTTGCCTGACGGATCAAACTTAGGATGCGAATAGAAGTCATCGCCCTGAGCAATGGTGACTTCTGTATCAGAGAGAATGTCAATCGCCACCAAAGTGTTGTGCACGTCGGTTGCCTGGGTCTCAGGGGTCGCATCTCGGTGGTCTTCTTTGATTGCAAGCACCCACTGCGTATCGACGGGATGATTGCAGAAATCGGCATATCGAACGCCCTGGACTGTCGAATGCACGAGAACGACTTCACTTGATGCCGGATCTAATAAATACAGACTGCAAGATTTCTCGTCTGAGAAGAGAACTCTTCCATCCGGCCTCATCAAGATGGAGCCGCCTCCAAGCTCCTGCACCGTTGCATGTGCACTGTAATCTCTTGGTAAGACGTCCCGGCTTTGTCCGTTGAGATGTTGGATGATTGCAAAGCGACCACCTTCGGTAGGGTGACACTCCACCGAGTAAATAGCACCAGTTGACTCCTGTACCTGTTAGCGACAGACCAAGTAAGCTGGATTGAACAGAGCATATACATCAACGACTACTTCGTGCAGCGAAATGCTGTCAGTTGACAACCGGTCCGCGGTGAGTGGGCTTGTCCATTTGCCGTACGGTGCATGAGAGGGAGGCATTCTCAGGATTTCCGGATGCCCAGAAATAGAACGAGAAACTAATAGACCAGGATTGCGAGAAGCTACCAATAGACAGTGCAGACTTTTGCGATAACCTAGAGGATCTCTTCTGACTCACCATCAATTAGGTTGTTTCGGGACAGTCGCGTAGCAAGCCCCACTGGGATAATTTCATATTGCGGTGAGATTACATAATCATAATAATCAGTAGTTAACATAATCGGACAATTACCCGCTGGGATGAGCTGCCGGCAGTTGGCCGCTCTGCCTACTAAATTATAATGATCGATTTAAAATTAAGTAATTTAATACTTTACAGATAATATATAGAGAGTCGGACTGAATATTGATTGAATGTGGATATATAAGAATAGTCTTTGTTATTATAATCGGTGCAGCAGGATAACCAGTATTAAATACTTTATATAACCTGCTTCTATATAATTTATATATTTTAAGTTATTGAGTATGCAGTACGTTCCGCCGAGGTGGGAACCGTTGCCGGTTAGCCGGTACCAACGATGAATACTACCTCACTTATACGGTACCTCGTAGGCTGGTTGGAGTTGTGGATGGTACCTTAGTGGGATTTAAGAGGGAAAGATTATAATAACAATTAAACAGTCGACGAATTTGGTTCTGGATGATTTATGGTATGGGGGTATTGAGTAATCATGATACTGTGACTGGTCTATATCATGTAACTGTCGGTTGTTGCCATGGGCAGGAGAGTACACTCGAGTAGTCACAACATTCCCTAATGGTTAGGGATTGCATGGTTTTACCAAATACCTTCTCAGAAGGTTCTACAGAATACTAGATTACTTTAGCCGGGTATCTACACACTTCCCCTAATATGACTGTCCTCCAAACGAGCGACACATACCTCGGCCACAGTAATTCGACTATCTAAATTATGATAGTATGAACGAGCCCGCATTGTTATTACTTACCTTTGAGTGTCTCTTTAAGGTAGACTGAGTATCACTTATGTAACATCTCCCTCAATCCCCATCCCCCAAGGGCATTGACAATCTTACTTTCCAAGTTCAATCAGAATCCTATTCTCATACACACCTGAATATGCAAGGATAATATCAAGCCATATAAGGCGGCGGACTACAACTTTCTAACAATACATCCTCATCCACCATATGTGCATCTAACGGTACCCGAACATCCTCACAGATAGACGAGGCATTACCCTGTCTGCGGTCATAGGACACGTGTACCGGCACTTGAAGTTGAAAATTCGTGTCTCGAAAACTGTCGACTTCAATACCGATAATTAAACTATACCTCCTCGAAACATAAGGATGTGTAAAGGTAGGCGGCATGTAATCGTTCTCGTCGAAGGTGAAGATTAGATGGGCGGTTGATTCCCATACCGGTTGATCCTGGGATGTGGTACCTTCTTGGTATGTGAGGTTAGTTTCTTGTTTGCGGTCGATACGTGACGGTATGGAAGATACATACCAGTATCATGGGCACGTAATTTAGGTTTCCACGACGCAATCCGTACTTTGCGGACTTGTGTAGTCCCAACTCGGGTTGTATCCGCGAGGAGCCGGAAATTCTTTAATTTGTTGGCTTCAGTCCGGGTCGGGACGCGGGACTGGGATATAACAGATATAAATGTCGTCGCGCTAAGAAATGTTTGAACGTTGGCAAATAGAACCGGCGGATGAATGATCTGATGATGTCCTGAAGGGCCTAAACACTGATACCGCCATGTCAAAGGGACAAACACTGCCCTATTAAGGCGATTAAGATGAAACAAGGTGGGTTGTTCCGTCTCAACGGACAGGTGCCATAGACCGCGGCGGGATAGGAGATCACGAATGCGCTGAAATGAGTTAAGAGTATATTCGTGAGGAAAGTCGGTGATACAGATAGGGGGAGGACATTCTTGTGGGGGGACAAGGGTTACTGGGAACTCGGCTTCGGCGATACGGCTGCTTTGATTAAAGAGGCGGGCTTTGAGGCAGTATTCTATGCGACAGTGGCCGCGGAGAGTGAGGTTGTTAGACTCATAGGCGGATATAGGTTTGAAGGAGAGGGATGGAGGAAGAGGAACACCGGTTTCGAAGGCGGAGGAGGATGAGTTTGGGTCGCTCGTCCAAGGGATGTTGAAGTGGAAAGGGTGGATGAAGGTTTGGGAGGGTGAGCAGGTGGTGTCGGATGGGGCTTGATATAATTCGCGAACGTCAGATGCTCGGATGAGCTGGATGGCAATTAGGATGCATATCCTAATCAGAAATATAGAAGGTGGACCTTCTTACAATGAGATTTTTAGCCATGCGGAGAAGTTGGGTCGAGATGTTCAGATGGATGGATGTGGATAGCTTGCCTGGTAAATATGAATTAGTGTTAGAACTGAGCTAGGTGCTGGCTTAGTTTTACCCTCAAAAGTAACTTCGACTATTGCAGAACGGTCGATGGTTTCGTTGAAATTGTTCATGGAGATGACGACCTCTCCATCCAGAAAGCTGTCGGTGATAATGGGATTGGTCTGGTTTGAGCTGGCCCCTATTGTACTCGCGGATCCCGAATCTGATACCGGAAAATGATTGATCTTAATGTGTAGCCTGGGTGCCATACTTTGAGTTTAAAATATTGATGTTAATATCGTTATCGTTGCGATCGAATATGGTGGAAAACTTTATACTTTGCTTTTTGGGCTGATTAGCGGACAACTGGGTGTATGATGAGAGCAGATTAAAAAGCATCCGTCGCCTCTACGGCATAAACAATGGGAAACATGTATATTTATAGAAGCAGGATCCAGACAGTGCATCCTCTGAGCTCCCTCATGAGCACCGCGGTCCGCCCTATTTCGATCCCAGATTCCCGGTGGCAAACGGGCAGGCAACAAAGCTACGCATAGCATTTATCAGGTGCGGGAAAAGATCCAAGCAGACTACGAGTTAATTTTGACCAGTCTGTCATATTCAACATCATGCGTCTCTTAACAAGCAATATGGAAGCAGGAATAAATTGTGTGCAGCAGGCAATCAGGGCATCTGATGGTGCCGTGGAAAGACGCTCCAGCTGTGTTTTCTATTCCAGCCGAGGAACAAGTTATGTGGCCGGAAAAAGCGAACGACTTTCCTCTTCCGGACGGCGGAACAGAGAGGGATACCCCTCGCGATAGGGCTGAGGGTGGAGTACCTTAGAGTCTTGAGGGATTTTCTTGGTTGGTGGCCCCACCCCAGATGGTTTTGGCAACACTGCAGAGAACGGGGAAGAGTGTGCCGTGTTCCATTTAATTATTTCTAAATCTGTTCTGTTAGTTAATGTGGTGCTAGGGGTGTCTACCTCAAGCTCTCTCACAATGTAGACCTGGGATTTAATTTCATATCTCACGGCAGCAGACTCCGGTCGCGCCCCAGAAACCTTTCAATGATCCAGGCCTGAATTTGAAAATTACCTGTGAAAGTGCCTTCCACCCAAGCTTTCGCTGGTCATTAGCGCAAAGCTTAGCCTACGTGGCCGCAACAGCCATGTTACCGATTGGACAGGTGTCAGGAGGGCCTTGCACGGGAGTTTCACAAGTCAGATGGAGGATGCCTAAATACATCCTTCATTTGAACAAGACAGATAATTAGAAGGTCAACTGTTAGTTGACAATGAGAGGCCCCATGAGCGAAAGGTCCCACCGGATTTCTAACCGACCTTTCAGTACCGTCCACAAGAGGGCCCGCAGCCGTTCAATCCTGTCGGAAGGGCGTTGTCGGGGCCCCTTCGGGTAAAACTTACAAGTGTTTACTAGTGATAAATCAAAAACAGGGATAGACAGAATTTTCAGGGATGATTAAAGGGTAGGTATTTGAGAAGGAAGATTGTTTCTCAAGGTTTTGACTCCCGCTCTAGTTACCTGGGTTTCGAGTTTGAAAGATTGCATAGAGCGTGTGCTGCTTAGTTTGGGGTACTGTTCGATTAGGAGGAGGATGGGATAAATAGCTGCTTTTGCAGGTATTGATTCTGTTTGTGTATCAAGGAAAGACTATGTACGGCCTCTGAGTGGAAATCCTCCAAACAAATGAATGCATAACTTTCTAGTTAGATGAGCCAACGTCGCGGTGACCTGTAAGGCCATGAGGGTCAACGAATGGCAGCCAATTGTCGCCGCATGAAGAAACGTAAGTCAGGCTTCGGAAAACTAGTAATTATCGGGGCTGTAAACAAATCACCACAGTAGCAATTTCACCTAATCATCTCGCTTGTTTCCGGCAACAAAAACATTCCCCACAGGAACCCCAAGAACGCAACCACGAAAAAGAACCAAAATGTTCCCTTAGACTGGAGTGCATCGGCCAACGTCATTGTCGGAACGGCCTGATTTATGAGCAACCGGTTTCACACTGGTAACAAGAGGGGAAGTAAGCTCATACCTTGGTAAGCGCAAACCTATTGGCATAGTGAATGCACATCAGGATACTTGTGCCTAGCGTTCGCACTGACGAGGGAAGCATCTCTGCATGGATCAGATATTGAATCGAGTTCCAGCCAAAGGCATACCCGACGCCCGTCACGTAAATAGAAGCGATCGCGGCGATTGCTGCGCGGTGGACATCCTCCGAGTGCGCATCTGAGCCCAACGAGGATGTGACGATTAGGGAGATAGCAACATAAAGAAGAGCAAGCAGCTGGAGGATAATTCCAGCCATGAGCGACCGCCTGCGTCGATCTGGTCAATAAAGAAGAAGGCACATATCAGGGCCGCTGCGAGTTTCACAGCTCCGAAGATGGCGGTTTTAAGTAGCTTTTCGGATGTGCCGATTACTCCGAGTAGCGAAAGGAAATTGGGGGCGTATGCTATGGTTTTGTGTTCTGTATGAGTGAATGTTCGGAAGCTGTGTGGGCGACTTACTGGTAATGGCATTTGTTCCCGATCACTGGCTGAGTAGCTGCGCGGAGATCAGAAATAAGAGTCGGGAACGATTGACGGCTTGTCCGGAGAGTAGGTTCCACGGTTCCAGTAATGGCCATCGTCCCTCTTTCGTCTTATCGACAGCAACTTGTTTTTGAATCACCTGTAGTTCGTCCGTGATATTAGGACTGTCCGAGGGGAGTCAGCGCAGGCGTCCAAGGGCCCGGGCAGCTTGCACAGTGCGATGTGTTTTGCACAGGTATCGGGGGCTTTCGACACAGCTGAGAGAGAAAAGGGGCAGGAGACCAGAAAACATATTTTGACAGGATTGAGGAATAATTCATTGTTGACCCGATCGCTGTTGTTTGACAGGTGCAGGGAGGCACCGTATCCGGCGAAGTACTTTGAATGTCAACGGTATAATCAAGTTGAGATACAGTCATATACTTACCCCGATCAGAACCCCAATATACTCAAATGAGGCATAAATGCCGACTAGTAGCCCTCGCCAAACCGTGGGTGCCACTTCCGCGAGATAAATGGGACCGATAATGCCTGCCTGGCCGATGCCCATGCCCATGACGAAGCGAGCAGCAATGAGCTGGCCGGATTCTCCTGCTGAGGTGATGAAAATGACCGCGCCTATGATCCAAAGCATGCACAATTGCCGCATTGTCCAGAGAGGGCCAATCTAGTCACTAAACAGAAAGGCGAGTAGGGCAGCAGGCAAACTACCCAGATGAACCATCGACGTGATGTTCGATAATTGATTGGCTTTTGCGGCAGCACTCAGGTTGCTTGCATGAAGGTCAGATTTCAGGACGAGCGATGGTAGGTTCACTGTGATAGCGATGAGGCCTTCATCTAGTCCCTTGGCAGCTTCCAATAGACCAAAGCTGATGGCAGCGCAAATAATATGCCCAGCAGGGAATCTCATTTTGCTTTGCATTCAAGTTAGTCTGCAGTTTTTCCAACCTGACATCCTGCGAAGATGTGCTGTGTGGGCCATGGTTAGTATATTAATTAATAAATAAACTTATTATTATATACAGCTTTCTGTACTGCTGATAAGCTATAATTATAATAATATATAATTATTATTTAAATAAAGATCTTAATAAAATATACTACATATTTATTAACAGTATAAAGAACTTTTTTATTAAAATTAATAAATATCTCATTCTCTTTATCTTTTATATTATAAAAAATATATATATAATACCAGTCTAGAAATTTTATAAATTTAATATTATTTCCGAGCATACCAGCGGCCGTCTAAATATATTAACTATAGTATATTAAAGAAAATCTATAAAATTCTACTATTTCATAACTATTTAAATAATTGTAATACTATTAATACAGAATAGATTTTCTTTATTTAAAATATAATTAATCTTAAAAACTTTTTAGATCTCCATAGTTTCGGATTTAAAATATTTTATAAAAATATAAAAATTATATATATACCAGAGCCAGCACAGTTTAATTATTATTTTATATACAGATTATATCTTATTTATTATATTTATATAACAATAATAATACTGGCCAGTTCCTCTATCCGCTATTAGAAGCAAAATAATGAGTATAATTTAATCTACTGATAATTCAGAAATAGAATAAATATAATTAGATATTTAATTGCTAAGAAAAAATAAAAGATAATAAGAATAATAAATAATTAATACAATACAGATAAATAATAAATAAAATAACTATAAAAAAAGAAAGTAATATTTATATAAAAAAAAGAATAAAGAGAAAGAAGAAAAATAATATATAAAAATTTTGTTATTTACTTCTTATTATTAAGATTCTACTAATATAAACATATCTAAATACTGATAAAGCTATATAGAAACAGTATATAATTCTATTTATATTATATACTTTATAAATTCTTTATTTGTGTCAAACCCTAGGATCGCTTCCCTGTCCCAGTTAGCTTAGCCCCGTTGGTATACTTACCGCTGAACTACGTCAAGGTAGTATCGACTTGATGACTATCTGAGAGACAACTAGGTCGTGGACAAGAGAAGAGAAGTAAGGCCGAATAGTGCCGCGCAGCTATTCGTAAGTAAGTGCGGACGAGCGTTCTGTAGCTAAGCTTCCAAATGTATGGTTACTTAAAGACAGTAGTATTGAGCACGAAGAACAGAACTAACTAAGTACATAAGAAAGTATCCTTATATATCCTATCCCCCGTATACCATATCGTATACCATCGGGTCTGCCGTATACCAGTATAGTAGTTGTAGACTATGATGGTATGCCGTATACCATATGTTTGTCCATATACCGTAGTCACGTGGTGCGAGGCCGTTCCGGGCGTCGTATTGGCAATCCGCGATTGTACTAAATAACAGTTTTGATTTTGTCCGAGCGCTGTTCTTATCGGCGCTTTCTGCCTGGCGAGTCCACCTTATTAATAGATTAATTAGCAGGGATCCGTAATATCACTTTCCCTTCTTTAAGATTTCTTGTCTTCAAGAAACATAAAAATGCGTATTCCCCGTGTGCGTTGACTGGGTCCTTCAGTTTCTTTCTTTCTTTCAGGATGGGTCATCATGCCTCTGCGTAATTATTACAAGGAGCGTTGCCATCAAGCTGACCGGATTATCCGTAACAGTGTCCAGATCAAATTTTCTTGCATTTGGTGTGATTTCCACGGTCTTCCTTGCTTCATGGATTCCAAAAACCGAAATTGTGCGGCCTGTACTCGTCGCGGCCGTAAGTGCGAGAAACGTTTCCACAGTGATTCCGAGTAGGATAAACTTCAGCGCGATGAAGAAAAAATAGCTCAAGAGATCAAAGAGACTGAAGAGCAGATTAAGCAGCTGTTTATAAAAATAAAATATCTGTGAAAATATCGAAAGTTCCTTAAGAATCGTGGTGGTCAGATGCTAGATCATGACTCGAATGTACTAGATTTATTAGATGGTAAGAATCCTCCAAGCACCGAGGATCTCCGGGAGCTGGAGCGCCTAGCTGATAAGCATGACGCTGCTTAACTTGCTACTGTGTCAGATAATTCTAGTCTGACTTAGTTAGTTGGTTCTCCTTTCTTCTGGGCGAACTTTGACTTGTCTGTTGGTGATACTTTTCCACAAGCCGGTGACAGCCTGTTAAATTCTTGATAGATTTCTATGTATTTTCTGAGGTATCATAGCCTTTCTATTTTACTAAATAATATGATTTACTGCTAATCTTTTTATAGTCCAGAATCCTTTCAACTTTGTATTCTTGTTCGGTGTCATCGTTGATTTCCATGTTTTCTGCGATTCTAGCGTTCTTTGGTGCGGGTTCTAATAGCGAGATATAAAACACTAGGTAAATTTTGCTCATTAATTTCAGTAATTTTAATTTATAATTGACTGGTTCTTTCTTTTCCTCGATGATAAATGGTCCTAGTTTATGGTAATCGAGTTTCTGGCTTGATTATTTTATCTTGATATTTCAGTGGAGCAGAAACACTTTCTCCTCTCTCTTTAGATTAGATTTCTTTCTATATCAGTGATTGTAGTAGATCTTGCTTCGTAAATTCATGAATTTGATATCTCGGGATAGCTGGGCGTGCATGTATCCTGTAAACGCGATAATATCTTTAGCTATATCAGCAACTGGTTGTTTTCCCAATGATGTCTCCAAGAATCTTGGGTGGTAACCATAATTGGTGTAAAATGGTAAGACTCCAATGGTTGAATGGTTAGTATTATTATACAAGAACTGTATTATAAGCAACAGATCTGCCTAATCATTCTATTAGTAATTGATATAATATCTCAGATATTACTTGATTATCTGGTTAATTCTTTCTGTTTGTCTGTTTGTCTGAGAGTAATAAGCCGTTGTTATTCATTCTTCAATTTCCATGAGATCCGCGAGTGATTTCCAGAACTTTAAAATAAACAGTTTATTTCGGTCTGACATGATGTACTTTGGCATCCCGTGATTTGCAACAATATTTCCTAAAAACAGTTCTGCCATCTGTATTGCTGTCATTATCATTTTGCTTGGTACAAGATGGATATATTTGGTAAGGCAGTCAGTGATGACTGTAATAGTATTATATCCTTTTAATTCAGGTAATAGTCCGACGAAGTCAATTATTATCTATTTCCATGGTCGTTGTGGTGCCTTCTGTACTTGCATTTGTCTATAGGGTTGATGCCTCGCGGGTTTATTTCTAATACATGTCTTGTATTATCTAATATAATCGCGTATCTTTTGCCTGAGGTTCGGAATATAATAATTTCTAGTAATTAATTCCGTGGTTTTCTCGACTCCTAAGTGGCTCTTGAGTAGTTTGTTATAATGTATAGCCATGATTTCTGTTCTCATGCTGGTTAATACAAAGATTAGTCCGTGAAAGTAGGCTAATTCTTCCTTATTAATAGTAATTTTGTCCGGTGAGCCCTTGTTCATTTCCTGGAGCGTTTTATCGGCCCTGGTGGCATCAGTTAGTCATTTAGTCAGGTCACTGCCGATCTCTAGCGTTGCTGCGAGGTTGGCTTTATTGTAGCTGATTAATTTATTCTTATTCTGTTTTAGGATGGCTGGCTCAATGGTCTTTTTCTCTAACTTGTAATCTGGTCTGCGGCTTAACGCGTCTGCGTGTCCATTCTCTATTTCCTTATAGTGTATGATACGGAAATTATACTATGATAGAACTTCTGCCCATCTTGCCTGTCTTCTGGTCAATTCTTTGGTTATTATGAAGTAGATTAAGTTTTTATAATCTGTCTTTATAATAATAGTATATCTTGCTTCCTTGAGATAGACCCTCCATTGCTTGAATACTATTATTATAACTAGCAATTCCTTATCATGGATGTTATAGTTGAGTTCTGCCTGAACTAACTTTCTTGAATAGAATACAATTAGTCTGGGTTTTCCGTCGTCTCCTGGCTGCGTCATATGCATGTCAATAGCGTAGTCCGATGCGTCGGTTTCGATAGTAGTTTCCTTTTTTGGATCGTGCTGCACTAGTACTGGTGACATAGTGAGTCGGTGTTTAATATCTTCGAACACGCGCTACTGCGGTTTTTTCTATTTATACTCTTGCGTCTTCTTCATGAGCTCGAACAGCGGTATCATATAGATAGCATATCCGTCCACGAATCATCGATAGTAATTAACTAGTCCGACAAATTGCTGAAGCTTCTTTAGATTCTTCGGCTGAGGCCAGTCCCATATGGCTTACACTTTAATTCGCTCAGTATGGACTTTCTCCGTAGATATCCAGTGTCCCAGGAACTCCGTTTCCTGTACATGGAATTTGCACTTCTTCAATTTGCATCGTAATCGGTATAATCATAGCCTGTATAATATAAGTCTTATATATCTGACATATTCATCCTCGGTTCTCGAAAAGACCAAGATATCGTCTAGATAGACGATTATAAATCTATCAAGGTGTTCCTCTAATACTTCATTAATAAATTGTTAAAATATCGCGGGTGCGTTGGTTAGCCTGAATAGCATAACTAAGTATTTAAAATACCTGTATTTTATTCTGAATACAGTTTTCTATTCTTCTCCTTTAGCAATGCGTATGTAGTAATACGCATCCGTGATGTCGAGTTTAGTGAACTATTTCGCCCCTCGTATCTTATCCTGGATTTCTGAGATCAAGGGTAACGGGTGACAATCCTTGATTATAAATATATTGAGTGGTCGATAGTCTATATATAATTGTAGGATTCCGTTCTTTTTAGCTGTGAATAGGATCCCATGTCCTACAGGTGACTTAGATAGTCTGATATTTTCTTTTATTAATTAGTTATTAATGTAATTCTATAATATCTGTAATTTCTTTTTTAATATCGGGTATATCTTTCTATATCCCGGGATTTTATCTTTCTGAAGAGGAATAATGTGGTCATGCTTTCTATGCTGAGATAATTCAGATTTTTCTAACTGTTTAAACAGATCCTTGAATCTTTTATATTATAGCGGGACGTACGGGTTATTCTTAGTCACAGCTCAGAGTTTCTGTGACTCTCTTAGCCTTGTATTATCATGCTCAGGTCTCTATTTATTTTAAGTTCCTTGACCTGTGTCGCTGGATCTAGGTCCTTGGACCTGGCTCCCTGGCCCCGTAGCCTGGTGTACATGATTCCAGTCTCTGTTAATGCTACTTAGACATAGCTTGTAGTACCCTTATAGTATGTCCGGTGTCTATTCTGGTAGGTATATTAGCTTATTAATCTGTAATGGTTTTATTGCTGTTAATATCCGTTCCATAATTTCTGAGATGCTATTTTTCTCTAAGTTTCCTACGGTGCCTGGTGTATTAGACTTCTGTGGTGTCTTCAATCTTCTGATAGATTGCTTAGTCCTCGCTTCAGCCTCGTGCTGTATAACGGGCTGTACAGATCCAGACCCCATACCTGGTTCTTGCTGTTACTGTCTTGGGCAATTATAATTTGTGAATTAGAGATTATCGGTCCTCTAATTAATCTATAAATTATGATTCCTGAGCCATGGAATTTTTAATACAATATTATACCGTCCTAGCGGTGTCACATCAAAATCTATATATTCAAAGTAACCTGTTACTGTCATAGGTATAGTCCCTGATTCGACTATCAACATAAGAGTCTCCAGGTTCTCTCTATTTAGTTCTGTGATTAGTTCTGGCTTTGTCTTTTGCTTTTCTAATATTCCCAGTTACTGCATGAATCGTGGATGCATGTAATTTCTGGTTATACCAGAGTCTACCAGCACTTGAGCTGTTTAACTTAGTATGGTTGCCTGGACTTTTATATGTCTTCCTGATTCAGTAGCCGCCAATTACTGTTCTGACTAATTGGATTCATTCTGCTTAGATAATTTTCTCGGAAATCTCGATCCTTTGATTTTTGCAGCGTAATGTGCCATACACTGGTCGTCGTAGCACGCTAGCCAATGCATGAATTCGTGGTGTGGGTGTCGTCGGTACCCTATATATAAATAATTTAAATTACAGCATGGATAATATTCCTGTTTAATCTTAATCATATTTAGTACTTCGGGTCTGTATCCTGCGATGTACTTCTGATTATGGTGCGTGGTGTATATGTTGGTGTAGCACATGATCTAAAAAAGCTCGTCGTGTCTCTTGTACCCAGGATTTCCTTTGAAGTGTATGCACATGCATCCTGGATTATCGCATTGTGGGTGTACTCCGAATACTTTCTTTTTCTGGCTAACCGCGTGTAGCTGTTAGTAATAATCCTTATTATCATGTCCGCAGTGATTGTATATCTTTGGATGAGTAGAGCATCTTGTTAGATATTTCTTCTATATTATATTCCATGCCTTCCAATATCTGAGGTTCCAATGTGGGCAGTACTGCATGAATTTCTTTAGTTCAACACAGAATTATGCCGGGTTCGTTCGGCATTCCGTGATAATCTTGTTTAATTAGTATATAATATTGTTTTTATTTGGTTCTTGGTTTTTCTTATTACTGTCTCGTTGCGTCGGACATTTCTCGTTATTTCCTGATAGAAATTTTTCCAAAATATCTGATATATCAATGGATTCCTTCTTACTGGATTCAAGGTCCTTTATTTGAGTACTGTACTCTTTATCCAGAGGATTAAATTTATTTTAAATTATGCCGGGATATTTGTTCTCTAGAGCTGGCTCATTACTATTAATCTCCGCTGGCTAATTAAATAATTCATAGAGTCAGTGGACCTTGTCCTGTTGCTCTGGTGGTGCTGTTAGCTTATCTACTAGGATCTGTTATCTTAACTATTCTTGATATATTCTATTTACTAATACTAGTAATTATTCTTATTACGTGGCTCGTAGCTCCTTGCTATCTTGTGGCGGTGTTGTGGTTTCTATCCAGACTTCTGCTAATCTGATGCTGGTATTATAGGCTTCTCTGGTCTTTTTACTTGGTCCTGACTAACCTTCATTCATGGCTCTCAGTTGCTTCTAAGGCTGTTGCTGTTATTATTTACAGTTCTTTGACTAATGACCCGCCTTGCCGTAATTAAAGTATAAGTAGTCTTTCTTACATTTTTCAAGTTCCTCCTTGGATACTCCGTTTCATTAAGTCTGATACTGCGTTGTATCCAGCTTTATTGATTTTGGTCTGTAGGGATCTTCGTATTCTAAGCTCCTAGGCTGTGCTAGTCATTTATTATTAGCTTGGTAGCCCTGTTGGTTGCTTTGTCAAGACATAGATTTACTAGTCCATCAGTCTTTCTTCTATTTCATATTATATTCGTATAACTTATTATCGATCTTAACTACCGCTGTAATCATTCATTATAATATTCCTGGTTATTTTTATTAAATAAGTTTTTCTTGGATTTCTATCTTGAGTCCTTTCTCAAATCGTGCGATGTAGGCGTCCTTGTTCCAGTCCAGGTAACTGATAACTTGCAAGAACTCAGAGATATACTTAAATGCTGATCCAGTCTGTTTAAATTGCCATAGCTTTCATTCAGCGTTGCGTGCTGCGTTGATGTCTCTGAATGTTTGTTCGAGACGTTCTTTAAATCTGGCATAACTAGCAAAGATTCTTTTAGTATTATTATCCTGTTCGCCTACCGGCTTTTCTTGATAGTCGCGGATGTAGGGTTCAAACCAATTAAACACCGTCCCGGTTAGATAAATAGACGCGAAGAAGATCTTGTTAATCTTATTTCTGAGCTTCTCTTTATTTATATTAAAATACAAGTTTAACTGAGTCAAGAAAGCTCTAAGCCTTGATTAGTTACCATTAAATAATTCTAGTAGTTGGACTTTGATAGATTTAACTGCCAAGCGACCCTCGAGTAACTGGTTTTATTATTCCAAGGCGGTAATACTTTCTTATAACTGATTAATTATACTTATCAATTTCTATATTATTAGATTCTGCTGCTATCCCCCTCCTTGGGCACTGGAGCCCTGCTGCGGAGTACATGGCGAGTTTGAGATAGTTAATATAATAGATAATTATAACAGCGAACACTTGTACTGACTGATGCTTAATATGTCAAATCCTAGGATCATTTTCCTGTCCCAGTTAGCTTAGCCCCGTTGGTATACTTACTGCTGAATTATGTCAAGGTAGTATCGACTTGATAATTATCTGAGAGACAACTAGGTCGTGGACAAGAGAAGAGAAGTAAGGCCGAATAGTGCCGCGCAGTTATTTATAAGTAAATACGGACGAGCGTTCTGTAGCTAAGCTTCCAAACATATAATTACTTAAAGATAGTAGTATTGAGCACGAAGAACAGAACTAACTAAATACATAAGAGAGTGTCTTTATATATCCTATCCCCCGTATACTATATCGTATACCATCGGGTCTGCCGTATACCAGTATGATAGTTGTAGACCATGATGGTATGCCGTATACCATATGTTTGTCCATATACCGTAGTCACGTGGTGCGAGGCCGTTCCGGGCGTCGTATTGGCAATCCGCGATTATACTAAATAACAGTTTTGATTTTGCCCGAGCGCTGCCCTTATCGGCGCTTTCTGCCTGGCGAGTCCGCCTTACTAGTAGGTTAACTAGCAGGGGTCCGTAACAATTTGTTATTATCAGATCCCTGCTATTCTAAATCAGAAATATAAGATTATTCCTGATATCCGAGCCGGATAGCTCGTCCTAGTAAAGAAGAATATTATTTATAATAAAATAATCTATCCATCAGAAACAAAAGTCATTGGAATAATATATTATAATAATTATAGAAGTTATAAAATTATCGATAATGATTTTACAGTCTTCTGTTATCTATAAGATACTGATTTCCTTGTCTAGACTACTGATTCTCTAATAATCAGTCTATTTTGTGGATATAGACTATCTTTGTTATTATTATACAAATTTACAGTATTTAGTGGCTGATTCCTTATCTAGTCGACAGGCTTTCTACCCTGACAAGTAGGTCCTATCACAATAATCTTGTTTAGAGATTATTAAATTAATTATATATTTAATATTAAGCGGCCGCGGATTTGCTCCTTGCTTATTTAAAGATAAAATTTATTTAATAAGTGATTTTTCTTTATTATTTAATAACTTTCAATATATGTTAGTTATATTTTTAGCAAAAATGTGTCCAGATAATCGAGTCTGGAGGGTAGTTTAAGTAATATTATAAACACGCACTGTTTTATGTATATTAGTAAATTAGTCTTTCTGAATAGCTTTAATAGTAAGAAGAATCCTGTCTTCCTGCTCTATCTGTGATTTTAATAGAACAGATGCTTTTGGTGGTATTTGTGATGGTTGAAAAGTCTCGGTAGGAGATTCAAGATGGTGTTTTTGAAGGGGTGGCCCGCCTGACCGTGTGACCCGTCCGACCGTTGATTACGTTAAAATAAAATAATATTATATAATCCTGAACACCACTGACTGTCATAGAAGATATAAGAGAAAATGAGGAACTAAAAATTCAAAACCTGCTGGATTAGATCAGCTTAGGCTCTTGAATATTCTTCAGCAGTTCTGTTAAGATAAGATAAGCTCAACAATCTCACCACCCCCGAAGGTTAAGCATCTGCTGAAGGCTACTTGCACCATATATTATAATCCTATGTAAAATTTGCCCTAACTCTTTGTAATATTATCCTCCCCGGCAGGCAGTGAGATACTTAGAAGCCTTTTCCTGTCGCGAACGGAAGGGAGAAAAGCGCCACCCACCACTTCCCAGTCACATTGTATTTACCGTCTGTGTTCCATAGACTTAGATACATTGCTGACAGTGGTAAACGCCCATGAGTCCGCCAATCTTTAACAAACCCCCCGAATTGAGGGAAGATTTGCAATGTGCTAACTGAACAGTACGTTCACGCTGACGGGGTACTACCAATTGAACCGATCGTAGGATGGCTGTGATAGTTGTGAACCATCATTACCGCTTACCCCCCTTTTTGAATCCAGGATCCATGATGAATAAACTTTGGAGATTGCTAGTAGATTGCTCCCCAGCGCCGGGTTGGTCTGCAAGTTCTTGACTAGCGGTAGAAATAGCACCGTCAGTAGTGTAACGCACTCCGTTACAGGCATGGACTGAAGAAGTGCCATTTTGCGCCAAGGGCAAGACTCCCGTCCTTTCTTTAGCTATATGGTCGACGAGGGTCAGGGTTTCTTGAGCTGCATTGAAAACATTATTGACCTTCCCAGGGAAGATATAGATAATGCCGTCTTTTTCAAAAGTGAGGGAGCCGCGGAACTCTGCTCTTGTTTTCAATTTGGGCAACGTGGTACCTTTCCAGCCTTTGTAAGTGAAACGTGCGGTGTATCCAGGCCAGAACCGGTCGAGCTCATGCTCGATATGTGACCTGACTTTCGTTCCAATAACAGCATCATCAAGCCTTCCAAGAAGGTCCTGTGCTTCTTGGAGACTGTCGTACGAACCCATGACGGTGTACGCTCCATGAATGATGAGATAATCCCTATGTGGCCGTTCATGGGTTGAGACAGCTGGCATAATGCAAGGGAACCATCCATCCATGACAATGAATGGAAATGGAGCATCCTGTGGCGTTAGGTCTTCGTAAACAAGGCCGATACAAGCCTAGTATGTCACCTCGATATTTACCGGCAACAATTTCAGAATATCGGGTGGTATGAGGCTTTGATATGCCGTTGCATTTATAACCACATCAAAGCTATGCACAACTGTGTCCATTGAAAGTTGTTGCTTGGAATCGGATTTTGTGATACCCTTCACCTCACAGCCCAAGTGTATATCTACGGAGGCATCGTGCAATCTCCTTTCAAGAGCACTCCGTAGCCTATCTCCGATAACGATGCTGGGCTCGTCAAGATCATAAGCGCTTATAAGCCCTGCAAACCCAAGCTGCTTGACATCGAGTGTCCGACACTCCGGCGATTCATAACAGACATCATGGAACACTTCCGGTGTGACTTTGGAAGCATATCCCAGAGCGTCTTTTTGACCGAGGCCATAGATAGACCGCTCATGCGCCACAACGAGGTCCGGATAAGTTTGACAAAATTCTTTAAAAACATCCCGACAAGCTTCCCGGGTTGGCTTAGAACGAGGATAATGGGGACCCTTGTGTAAGCGAATCCCAAAGGTCCCGGATATTCCATGAAGGATATCCGACTTCCTCTCAAATACAGCCACATGATGCCCTTCTTTCTTCAACTCCAAGGCAGTATGACACCCATACCATCCTGCACCAATAACGGCGATGTCTAGTTTCTGGGCAGATTTCATTCTGTCTTTCGCACACATATTAGCCTTTATCCATATTTTGTTAGAGGTGACAGATATCACAGTAGTGTAATTTGAAAAATAATTCAGGGCTAAGGTCAAGTGTGCTGTACATACCTCCGAATACAATGCTTCAATTAGTACAGGTAACTTCCCGGATTCTCGAAGAGGGCTATCCTTTTGGACCACTACCCAGAAATTGCAACTCGGGTGACCCGTGCAGGCTGTCTCGAGTGAAATATATAGGACCCGGTCAGCATTACCAAAGTACGATTCGAGGTCTGCTGGTAGACTAACTGTTTCTGCATGGTACGCCAAACTAATGCGTAGTTGGCAAAGCGTAGTGGATGTATACAATATGGTGGCATGACCACTTCCCGTTGTCTGTAGCCTCTCTTTTCCTTCCCTCGCCCCCCTTTTTTTATGTGTATTTTTTTTTTTTTTTTTTTTTTCAATATCAGAAAACCCCTCGCGAATGTAGCTACTATGGGATATATCTCCGATCTTTCTACTCCGTAGTGGATCTGAGGGGTAATATTGCACAAGTCGCGTCATCTTGCATAGTCACGTAACCAATAGAAAAGGAACGTGACTGTGACAGAGATATGTGAATGCAGCTTGTCTAAAATCCTTGCTGTTAGTATAGTGGCGTAAAAATATTTTTCCCAAACAATTAGCGGAAATGGTCTCGCTAACAAGGACACCGCGCATTCTGCTGAGAACTGAGCGTAAATTAACCGAGCCTAGTCAACCAACAATAAGGAATGCATTTGGAGAGGGAATGCTCCAAGGCATAAAAAGCCCGAGATATTACCGATAATCCTTCCTATATGCTGGTAACTATCGATGACAAAATAAAACTATCGTCCATTATTTTTCAAACATTTGACTTTACTGGCCAAGTCTGCATCTACAGTAGAGGAGACGTGATGTATTCCTTGGGTATCAACAGAATAGCTTGCATTGGAGCTGGGTTTGTGGGTAAGTGGATTGACACATCTGCGAAGTGCAAATAACAATATAGTCTAAGGGGGACCCCTGGGTGTTGTGATAGCGTCCAGATGTTCATCTGTGCAAGTTACCGTGGTTGACAAAGATCCAACACGCATTGACGCATGGAATTCCGAATCACTGCCCTTGCATGAACCGCAGCTCGCTGAAATCATCTCAGACATCAGACAACATGCAGGGGAATCGACCGAATGCGTGAAATCGCGCCTCATCTTCTCCACCGAAATACAAAGAGCAATCCAAGAAGCTCAGCTTATTTTTCTCTGCATTGATACTCCTACAAGAACTAGTGGCCAGGGCAGTGGCTTTGCTCCAGATCTGGGAAACCTAAAACAGGCCATTGAGACCATCGCTCGAACAGCGACAGACGATAAGATACTAGTGGCAAAGTCCACTGTTCCATGCGGGACCGCTCAGATAATCAGGAAGCTTGTATGTCTACCCCGGACGGGTATTTCTATTATTTATGAATTTTATAATAACCTGGAACAAGTTTGAACACTATTGTCGGCCGGATGTCAAATGTGAAGTCCTATCGAATCCCGAGTTTCTCTCCGAAGGCACGGCGATTCAGGATCTTCTTTATCCTAATAGGGTCTTGATTGGGTCTCAGCAGACAGTGTCCGGCAAAGATGCAGCGCGTAAGCTAGCCGCCATTTATCAGGCTTGGGTGCCCCCCAGCAGAATCATCTTTACGGACTCTTTGTCTGCCGAATTGGGCAAACTGGCAGCAAATGCTATGCTTGCGCAACGAGTAAGCAATATCAATACCCTTGGCACCATCTGCGAAGCCACCGGCGCAAGCATTGAGTCCGTATCGCGGATATGTGGCTCAGATCCAAGAATTGGACCGCACATGCTAAATGCTAGCTTAGGATGGGGTGGAGGATGTTTCCAAAAAGATATCCTCAGCCTTGCTAATATGACACGAAATCTCGGCCTTGACCAGATAGGCAGTTACTGGGAATCTGTTGTTAGGACGAATGAGAATCACAAATTAAATTTTCAGAGGCGTCTCGTATCCTGCATGGGCGGCAGTATCAAGGATTGTTCTATCACAGTTCTGGGCTTCGCATTCAAGAAGGGAACATCGGATACAAAGAATTCACCGGCTATCTCTTTAGTCAGGGGCCTCCTTGCCAGTCAGGCAAAGGTGACTATATACGACCCCATGGTGCGAGCAAAAAAGATCTTAACCGACCTACACTTGACGGCAGGAGAACTTGAAAGAACTACAGTGTCTCACTCCTCCTACAGCGCATGTATTGGCGCAAACGCAGTTGTGGTGGCAACTGATTGGGACGCTTTTCAGTGTGGGCTCTTGAGAAACGATGAGAGACAGACTTTAAACTGGGAACACGTGTTGCAAGCGATGCAGGAGCCAAAACTCGTTTTCGATGGACGGAATATCTTGGACCGTGATTTCATCCACAAGCTGGGCGGCCGGTATGTGCGGGGGGGGAATCCATCGGAGTGGGATCAAGTATCAGTAGCTTCTCTCTGATTTGTTTTCAGTTGTATGTAGTTAAGAGTTTACGTACCTAAATTTTGCCACGCTAGCATTCTCACATTCTGCCCTTCTGGCGCTTCAAGAGAGAATTGCTGGGATTCTGCGACGGAGCCTGGCCAGTGCATAAATAGGCAGTATTTCTCTCCATCCTTCTGTCAAGTGTTATGCCTCTACAGCTGGTCTTACATCTGATCATCAAATTTTGTCCCTGTCTTTCGCTTACCTTTCTTTTCCCTTTTCCGTAACGATGGATACCCCTCTTTCACAGACTGTCCTCGTCGCAGGTGTATGCTTGGAAATATTTTTCATCACCAGATACCTCTGCTGATGTGATTTCTAGGCCGCTGGATTTTTGGGTTCTAATATGGTCCATTTTCTCCTAGATCAAGGATTAAATGTCATCGGGCTTGACAACTGCCATTCAGGAAGTGCAGCGAACTTGAATAATGTCCGGGAACACCCGAGATTCTCAATGATTCGGTATGCGTTCGTCTGTATCTATAAGCTTAGTCATGAAGGCCCACTAATGACCTGAAGCCATAACATTCAGTTTCCCCTTCCTGACCTGCCCACTATCCATCAGATCTATCACCTGGCTTGCGCTGCTAGCCCCGTCAAGTACCAAAAGCACCCAGTAGACACCATTGACACTGCCTATCTGGGAACAAAGAATTTGCTGGATCTGGCACGACAACACAACGCCCGCATCCTCTTATCGAGTACATCAGGTAGGTTTGCACACTTTTCTTTTCTTGTTACAATATTTGCTAACACGCTGGTGGCAACGCTCAGAAGTCTATGGGGATCCACAAGTGCACCCGCAGCCCGAGACTTACTGGGGAAATGTCAATTCATTCGGCCCCCGTTCATGCTATGACGAAGGTAAACGCGCTGCTGAGGCTCTAGCCTACTGTTATATCCAGGAATATAGCGTTGATGTGCGGATTGCACGCATTTTTAACGCATATGGGCCCTACATGCACGCGGAAGATGGCCGAGTCGTGTCGAACTTCGTGGCTGCCACAATATCTGGACAGCCTATCATAATTACTGGTGATGGCACAGCCACCCGCTCCTTTCTGTACGTGGATGACTGCATACATGGTCTGTATGCTCTTATGCACAGTAACCATACAGGTCCGATCAATATAGGGAATGATAGGGAAACGACGGTAGAGGATCTTGCCAACATGGTACGGGCGCTACTTGATAGAATAACTGGCCGCCAAGCGCCTCCAATTGTCAAACGTCCTCGACCGGAAGATGACCCCTCAAGGCGGCAGCCGGATATTGGCTTGGCACGCCGGCTTTTGCACTGGGAGCCTGTCATCTCTCTCGAAGAGGGTCTGCTGAAGACAATCCAGTGGCATATGAGCTTGGAGCGCCTAGGCCGAGCACAGCATTATTCGAAAATATAGGGGGCGTTTTAGGTATCTAGTCAGATTAGGATCAACATGACCTCCCGTGTTATCAGATGCAGATCTGCTGAACTTTTGCTATGCATCCGTGAAGTGTTTATCACATTGCATCATTCCATTTTCTCTCACCGTTCCACCATCCCGCTTCTTACAATGATGATACCCTAGCTGAACTACCTAAATCCAGTGATAAATTTGCAGTTCCTGCTTTGATCCGAGTACATCATTTACCGTATTGCAAAGCTCTGTACAATTTTGTACTCCCATCTTCATTCCAGATGCACTTGAGTCATTCGATCAGGGTGTAATGCCTTCTATCAAGTCTACTCAGTAATCAAAAGAAAACAATGTTCCACAACTCTGTAGTCTAGGAATATTAACGGAGAGTGGGTGACGCATCTTCCATATTCCTCTGGTTGGGTGCTAGAGGGCAGTCACAATCTTTGTCCGCTGCTATAGTATTTGAGGACCCACTCCGAATGGTGCCGTGGGTGTATAGAGTAAACTTTGGAAAGCCTAGGGCATTTGAGTAAGCGCTGCTCATTGCAATATCTGTCGAAGAACTAGACATATCCTACCTCAAAGCGGAAGGTCATATGTTTTAGTATGTAATTATGTGCTTTTCCAGCTGCCGTAGTTAAACTACTTACAGATCTATTACTGGATGACCAGCCGAGCCGAGCCGAGCCGAGCCTTGATGCTTATAAGAACACTATAGCGCTAGTATCCTCGGGTTCCACCATCCAGCACAAACTTTCCCGCCTACTTGATACTAATATCACAGCTTATGACGGGAAAAGATAGATTTTCTCTGCTTAGGTGGTGTGGATATCCCCGTCGCATACGCCCTGGCTGGGGTTCCCAACGTCTGCGTCCGGATTCGTTGCTCTCTAGACCGACAAATGATTATTCTGGACGACTCGCAGTTACCAAGGATGGGGATACAAAATTCATAATGCGAATTTAGTATTGAATAGTACAGAGATGGTCGTTAATACGAGCAATACTTCGATGATTTACTCTTGCTTGCCCTTCGTAAGCAATCTTGAGGCGTTCCCTCAGATCGAAAACCTATCCCTAACTATTGCTTATTATTTAGCCCCGGGACACGCTTTGGAGGATATGATGAGAGGGTATGGTGCACTACGGGGACAGGAGCCTAACGAGCCTAGAATTTCCCAAACAGACTATGAGCCTTTGGGACGTGGTTCGGTGTGTTAATTGTAATCTCCAACAGGGACAGACCACTATGGACCATACTCCAGCTTCTCTTACTAATTTAGGCTTAGATAGGTATATAAGTCCTACACAGGACCACTCTGAGGGCCAAGGCCGCATACGGTGGCGGCGCCTGGTGGTGGCTGATAAATCATAAGGCACGCAGCACGACTTCAGTAAATATCTTGGTGGCTATCGGGCGGGGATGGCTGACCCCAGTCTCTTCTAATTTACAACTTTGGCCTTGTTATACCCAAGTATGTTGTACGAGTGTAAGGAGATAGTGTGGGCTTCAGGCATTCTTTTCTCTTCTAAGCTCTGCGGGCTGGCTGCATGTGCTGCATCTTCATGGATTCAACTCGTTTTCTTTCCGTTTTCCCGTTCTTTCCCGGCTTTCCTTCCTAGATACCGCCTCTCCCCCTTTCTCCACTTTCTTTTCTTCACAATCGGGCGCCCCTATTGGCTTCTTCCTCGTGTAGAGGGAAACGGTCTACGAAGCCAATCTTTCACGCGATATCCTTACGCCAAAGGTCTCCGCGGCCGAAGTACATAGTACTATGATGGATAGAGGCTTCTAGCAGGGGCCAGGATCGTGGACAGGATCTCTTTGACACCTCTGTCACTGGAAGCTAGTCTTATTGGATATTAAGAAAGCCCAACACCTAGGTTCCAAAGAAGTTCGCGGTCATGCTAGTGGTCACCCGACTGGCCTGCTGCAGTGCATGTACGCTGCAGGCGATACTGTTACTCGGCCGGCGAGCATTTAATCCGGCCTAGCAGCTCGAATTTCATATTATGTGGTGATAAAACCATCCGTGGGAACTGTCTTCCTCCGCTTACAATGAATGACTGGAATATATTACCTTCTCGTAAGAAGTGGTTTACATATGTGCATCGGGTAAATCCAACGAGCGTCGTGGGTTTGGGCTACCTATCGCGGATATGTTCGGACTAGAGAGCCTTGGATCGGCGACAACTCTTGACGGTATCTATCGGCCGAGACATGATAACTCGGGTATGTAACAAGAACTAATCTCAAACCCATAACGCCACCGACCGCGGGCGTTCCCTAGTGCCGTACCAGATACCCACAAAGGGGATCACCTCCTATAGCAACTGAGGAAATAAGGATCCATGCATGCCAGTGCCACAATAATCCCTGTACTGGCCCGTGTATGGTTGCGGAGCATTCTTCGGTCTTACCTTCTCCTTCCGTTTGAGAGCGGACTTTCGTTTAATATTCTGCTCATCTAGCCCTACCTACCTCAGTGTTTAACCGAGAAGTGCAAACCTCGGGCCAATCTAGCTAATAGAGACAGTGAAGCAATTCTGGGACTTGTTAAAATGAGAAGTATTGTATAATAATAAGATAAGTCAATCTAGACCTGGCCTTAGATGGTGTACATCTGCTTTCCGGCCATTTGTATTGTCATACCTTTCTAATAATGTACACATGCATTGCTGGTCGATGTAAGAAAGATACCGTAGATTTTGGGTCAGCCGAAATCCCAAGTCTTCTTTTTGTATCCAATCCAGAGTGAGACAGTCGGCTTGGAAATAGTAACGCACATTTGACTCATACAGTCAGGTGGCTCAGGGCCTCAGACTCAACACAATATAAAGCATCTTCTAAAGTATCAAAAAACTGTGGAACGTCTACTTCGGAAACGTTAAGGTCCAATTTTACCTTCGCCGATCTGTACTACGGCAGCTTCTGAGAAGTATGCGAGCTTGCAAAAACAAATTCGATTCTACTAGCTAAAGAAACCGAGGAGCTACGTGCTAGTCATGAAAAGCAGCTACAAGAAAGAAAGCTTTCTTTCAAAGAAGCCGGTAGCCTACAAGAAAGGCAATACTATTGAAGATGCTCAGAAAGCCATACAACAAGAAGTGGAGGTTCAATATGATCAAAATGCAGAGGTTGAGGTGAATATTGAGCAGCTACCTCAACCTATGGAAACTCCCTCGCGCGCGCCTCCATGCTGCACTAATTGATCCAAAATTGGCCACTGACGTATACAGTGTCCTAAAAAACCTATTAATTAGCTATGTAGCTTTTATATATGAGTTTGTGTTGATTCAAAGGCTTCAAATTTGATCATGTCGGGTAATCTTACCGGGGATTGAGCCGCGCGACTGTGGATTACGTTACAACAGATGCCCGACCGCTCCTACCGCGTATACATGGGTCTTGAAGTGCTGTCTACATTTTCCCGGCCTGGAGGTGACGCTGACATTACGGATCCTGAGAAAGCGCGCGATGCAGTACTACAGCACTACGCGGAGTGGGCGCCGCACCTCCGTGCGTTCGTCGAAGCAGCAGAAAATTGCTGGCGTCCATGGCCGCCGCACCGACTTGACCTTGATATTATCATAGATGGACATCCGAGCTGGACGCGAGTGCCTGAAGTGACGCTGCTAGGTGATGCGGCGCACCTGGGCGCAACGAATGGCGAGGGTGTCGAAATTGCCATGTATGTATGATACATTAGCCTTGTTCAACTCGTTCATGGCTGAGATGCAGAAAGAGCATAGTGGCAACCACCAGGCAGATGAAGACACAACAGCAGTGGACCGTGCCATTGTTGCCTATGAAGCGGACACGCGTGCCCACAGATGAGACCATATCTTGGACTCGATCACCATCGAGGATATATGTTTGCAGAGGATGGGGCCGCGCGTATATTGGCGTTGTTTAACCGGGGTGAATACCCGCTTGTTGCAGATACCTTTCCACCAAGATTCCGTGAGCAACCATATGCGTTTAATCCAACTCATACATTGCGAAGCTATGTATGCCCCATCGAATACTGTGCCGCGAGTACCCCGATGCAGTAAAGTGCTGGGACATATCTCCCCATCAGCTGATCGGATACTAGGCACGATATATCCTTTTTGGTCTAGCAGTCAGCATGTCAATACGTTATAAGCCCGGGAGCAAATTATACCTTACTAACATATACATACCTAAACCAGAAACTAGGAACTGCAGGTTTGAGTCCAGACATGGTTGACCCGACTCTGCGCATATTTCTATCAAATAGTGTAGGTTGCGTATTTTTACAGTCTTCGGTTTATGGGGGCTGCATTGGGACATATCTCTCCGCCAGCTGACCGGACAGACGTGATATATCATTCTTGGTCAAGCGGCCAGCATGTCGACTTAAAGTAGCTAGTAACTGTACCCCACCCGAACCCCCTCGGCAATACTCTTCTATTTTTTTCACAAAACCCCCTCGATCCCCTCACCACAACGCCATCCATCATCACCTCTTCTTACTTGAAACAAGCGCCCCCTCCTTTTGAACCAAACCATCCCTCCAGAAATCCACCCACCAAAATGTCTCAAACCAACACAAACACACACACCTCCCTAACAACAACAATAACCACCTACTTCACCTCCATCGACGCATCCGACCTCCCCACGACCATGTCCCTCCTCGCCCCCAACGCAACCTTCACGATCCCCACGGCAGCCAACACAACCTTCACAGGCCGAAACGCTATCTACACCATGCTATCGGACTTCGTCTCCCGGTCGGCCAAAATGGAGCACCAGATCCAGACCATGGTTGTCGACGAGCGGGCAGGAAAAGTAGCGACGCAGCAACGGTACCTCGGCAAACTGGTGGACGGGACAGAGAAAGATATGCCCACTTGCAATTTCTTTGATGTGGATGACCAAGGGAGGATTGAGAGGGTGGTGTTTTGGTTCAGTGGCCAGAATCCGTTGTAATGAACTTTGTACCCGAGGATAATGGTAAAGAGATGGGTAGCGAATACGGAAGCAAAAACAACCATAACGTTAGTGCCTAACTACGACAAATCCATGACCAAAATCCCCCTTTAAACCCCTTCATTGCGTTTTCGGCTATGCTATACTCCAATAGGAACTTCGTCATCAATCCGCAATGCTGATTGGGACGAGGGAGTGGTAGAGATAAAAGAGAATCTTAGGTTTCAATCTTTCCCTGCTTCGAATATATGGTGTCTTTACAACAGTCAAGATAATCAAGCTTCGTATGCTATGTTTTCGTGTCAGTGTTCAGTTCCGCTTCCCACGCGTTCCATAACAATTTCCATATGCAAATAGCGTATGTAGTAACATAACATGTCGCATCCCCTGGCCTACTCTTCGTCTGCTCCTGCATCTACATATACAGGAGAAAAGCCATGAGTCCGGACAGGAAAACAACGCGAACTGACCAATAGCAACCAATAATCTAGCTGAATACGAAGGATTTTTAACAATCTTTAACAACAGGGACCATGTTGCTATAGCATGCTCAATGATACTCAGCAAAATGTTTTCCGATAACTATGGGTTCGACGAGAATATAACAATGGACTAGTGCTTATGGATTGTTTTATATTTTCTAATCGAGCAAAAATTACTAATGTCTCTTAATAGAGAATCATACGAAAAAGTCCTTTTTCCTTGGGTCCAAACTGATGGCCAGCGTCCTGTTTCTATCCAGGCATCCATCAGACACTGAAGGCTATTTGCCATGCCAAGCGAGAATGTTCGTCTAAGGTGTTGCCCTGAAGAAACAATATAGTTTTGTTACTTGTCTCTCGAGCTGAGTGCATTCTCCTGCTGGCAGTAGTCAGATTCTGACAGGAGCTCGCAGTGGCAGCAAAGAATCTGCTATTGTAGCTCTTTTGTCGTGGCTCGCCGATATATATTATGATGATAACGACGTATGAATGACTAGATATCGAGAAAATTAGAAGAGTCTGGACAAGAATAAATGAAAGTCATATGAACTACCCTGTATACCAAGACATGTGTTTAGTGGTAAGTAAAACAGATGACACAAAGCATTGGGATGCTCGCTATTTTTAGCTTATCGCCGAAAGGCTGGCCTGTAGAAACTGGGCAGCGTCCTATTGCTTACGGAGTATAGCTCCGCAGAACTAAAGCTTCGGTATTGTACGGAGTAAACCACGTTATTTCTGCATTCCACTTCTTGAATATGCAACGAACATGGATACAAGCAGAAGAAGAAATAAGAATGTGCTATTCAAGGTTCCAATCACCCACTAAACGACAGCACTATACCATGGTATACTATGATATTGCAGAAAAAAATCCATTTATCGTGCTCAACATACGAGCTGAAGCGAAAGCTCTGTTAGCGTCACGCACTAAGCACCTAGCAGCGCTACAGTGGCATGTCAGAAGTTTGCGTTGCCCTGTATTACACACTAGCCGTATACAGTGCCGCTTTCCGAATCAGGCTAGATTAAAGCTATTCTGTCCACTTAAACAATGTGTATAAAGTCCTTAATCATGATACTTTACACAGATGTCTATATAAAAATATCACGCTGCAGAGAATTAACACTACTATATAGGTATCTTTATAAGGCTTCATGGTAAAGGACTATATAGGCGTTGTTTTGGTAAGCAGAATAGCTTTAATCTAGCCTGATTCGGAAAGCGGAACTGCATACGGCTAGTGTGTAATACAGGGCAACGCAAACTTCTGACATGCCACTGTATACAGCTTATTGAGTTCTAGATAGAGTTCTAGATATCTTAATTAGGAAAGCGGAACGGCTAGCGTGGAACAAGGGATAACGCAAACTTCTGACATCCCACTGTATCATTAGAATTTGTAATTCCGCGTCTGATAGGAGTGGCGTTTGGGTTAGTGACATTCATGTTGATACTGCATGTTGCGCGGAGTCAGAGCACGGCGGGGTTCCGGCTGACTGATACCATACCTTTTCCATTGGCGGAAACAATCTCCGTACAGCACTGTCGTCGCGGATCAGGAGGTTCCATCAGCTCTTCAGCTACACCCCGGCCCGTCTTACGGACAATTAATTCTTAGCTTTCCGTTTAGCTCCACTCTCGCTCCACTCACTTCCTTATGCAGTGGGCAAGTCTGGCCTACTGCGGCCGAAAGAAAAAACTCATTTCCTGGGCCCAACACAAGCTACCTCAAAGGCGACCGGCCCCAGGTAACGCAGTGTAGACCAAATCCACCCAAAACTGGCTAACAGCCATCGGCAGCCGCATCACAGCACCGCAAAACGACGTTTTGTATGATAATTTACCACGTTTACATGCCCGCGGAAGCTGGCCCTAAGTTTTAACAGAATCCGCTAGCCTCTTTCAGTGGCAAGCACATCACAACTCGCTACTAAACCCCTTATCTGCTACATGGCCTCTTCCTAATGTCTCTCCACACATCTTAGAAAGAATTGAATACAATTCTTCCCCGGGATGCTGAATGTTTTGATGGCAGTAACCTTAAGTCTGATAAATAGAAAAGGACAGCCCAATCAACAGCTGAATTATGTATCGGGACATAGTTATGCTGTGTAAACTCACTGATAGAATCTGACTGATACGTGTAAGTATTGTATTTCGCGAAGGATCTCCTCGTGGCTTTTATGAGCACATGACTCGGGATGTGATTGTGGTATCGTGGGTCGGTTTGTCAGGGTCTGTAATTTACATTGATTCTCTACAGGAGCAGAACTATATTATTCAGTAGTACAATAAGACATGTAAGACTAAGGACACAATATCCCACTCAGAGAGTGACCTTAATTCTTAAGATCAGAGTTTAGCAGTGTCAGGTCAGAAAATCCATCTCCTGGGTATTCCGGGTATAGTTCTTTCGGGTTCTGGATTCGATACTTATACTCTTTGATTGTTTCAACAGCTCCAAGGTGAGACCAAGCTAAGCCAAATATGAAACACTAAGGAGCAATTATCTCCCTGTATTAGATGCTGGACAGTAATAACAGATATATTTACAAAACAAATCAGCAATGTAGGTATTTCGTGCGCTTCTTTGCTCAGGCAAGCAGAACAATGATCTATCAGTCTAGCTGGAGGCTGCCTAATTTTGAAATGTAATGTAAATCACCTCCTAGGCCTCAGCATCACGACCAGAAGCCAGACCATGTGAGACTTCGCCACTGCGGATTGCTGATCACACATTATCTCTCTTTCCATGGGCAGCTATATTAGTGTAATATCATTACGAAATTCCGTAGTAACCATGCTATGAGAGTGTACGCACTAGTCCGTATTATTCTTAAAATTAAAGATAATAGCAATGTGATTGACTGAATTAGTGGAGATAGTGGAAGACAATATCCTACTGTTGTCTATAATGAGATTCTCGGGCTTTGCAACCTACCGCGCATGTGCTTCTATTAGAGAGCTTAGTTTGATCGGCGACATCGTAGACAACAATATTTGACCAATAGCCACGCCAGCGCGAGGACGGTCCTAGTGGCACCTCACGGACCCGCCGAGGGGAGCACCTTGGTCTCGAATCTAAGGATTTACGCTGGACAAGGATGAGCTCAGAACGCAAACGCAGTGTTTGTATCAAGAAAATGTGCCGTCATTGAGAGCATACTGGCATTACCGCACCTCGTTTAGAAGCGTACTTGAAATTTCCTCTTTCCATGTCTGAAGGGCACTGAGGCGGACATTTGTAGAAGGATTATCTATAGGCGTTGATGTAAGGGAGGGAACAGTCATGCTTGAATCTCACTTATGATGGGGGGTGAAATGCACATCACCCAGTACAGGCTGGATGAATATCGGGAACGGTAGGAAAAACCATGATCGTGATCTTGCCAATATGATACGAGCGTTAGCTCACAGCCTACGCATGATATTATCAAGTATGCGTGACTAGAAGATGACCCGCCCAGGTGAAAACCAAATATTGTTTTGCCACGTCGGAGTTTAGACTGGAAGCCGGTGGTAAGTCTGCGGCATATGAGCTTGGAGCGCCCAGCCTGGGAAGAGGGATACTCAAAAGTAAGGAGCGTTTTTAGGTGCCTACTTAGCTCGAAAACCAACTTTCAACACGGACCTTTGATGTGCTCAAACTTAGATATGCTCCCGGTATTGAACGCGTTGGAAGTACCTCCGACCAAGTAAAGAACAGTATGGGACCATTCAATCGAGACATAATATCCAAGCCTAGTGGTGCAATATAATACACGGAAATGCACAATACTTTTAGGCAGTTCTATCTACCCGGGCGCCCGGGTTGGAAGGGACAACCCAATCACGTAAAACATTTTTCAATCTGCTACCCGAGTGGCGCGGTGATAAGTGGGGCCCACATCCCTTGGCGAACAAAATAGCACTAGTGTCTTTCAAAAACCGATGAAGGATTTGAGTTAAGGGAGCTGGGATTCTATATCAACAACCCATAAGCATTAAGATCACGTTCCAAAACCGTCTGCTTCTTTATGTTGAGTTTGTGATAGTGCGAACAGCTGCGCATTCTGCCAGGTGACTCGGGCTGACTAGTAACACAAGTAGCCGGAACGATGTATACTGGACTGGAATTATCCGTCTAATGAGGGGTCTTCCTTAACGCTAGTCTGGCCAAATTTGACTAATAGCTAAGAGAGTAAGTTCGGCAATAAATATACCACAGGCCAGCTGAAAATTCTGAGCTAGGCTCTTGATTCATAATTGCGTTTTATTCCTAGCTATCACGAGCCGACGGGCATCCCGCTGCACTAACACTAATACTACCCACCTGCAACTCTTCGGCTCCGACCTCACCACGAGGTCACCAATCATACTAGCCAGAGAAGTACTCCCGTTAAAGCCCGTTAATTCATGATGGCGCCCACCCACAGATTTCCTACCACTGGGCATCGGGACTGGTTCACCTCTGTCCTCCCGGCCCCAGGAACCACCGCCTACCTGCTGGAAAAGCCAGCGTGAGGGAAGCTTTATTCCATGATATCCCTTCATGGAGAGCGTCAACGATCACCCAAAGATAATGTCAGGTCAGCTTGCTATAAAGCTTAGGGTAACTTACATTACACAGATTTGCAAAGAATATGTATGTCTACACAGCAGGAACCACAACATCCACTTTTCAAAAAATGGTAGAGAAGGAGAAATAGAATTTACGTCCAGCTGAGCCTGATCAGCGGGGGCGAGGGACTGGGAAAATTAGGAATGCCTAAAGTCTCGCAATGTGAAACTCGATTTGGGGCGTTTGTTCTGCTGTCGATTCCATATGCGTCATATTTACAATTGAGATGACCAGAATATACGGGAAACCTTTCATAAAACAATACACTAATGCATGGTGGAGACTCAATCACATCTCGCTATGGATGTCTACTTACCAGGCCAGCCAGCCTGATAAGCCATGCGAAGATCATGACGGGCCACTTATGTCTGGTTATTAACGCGATGCACTTGAGCCTTCTTATGGAATACGTATCTGCAAAGCCATGCGCTAATCAATAAACCAGAAATTACCCACTTCTTGGAAGCGACATGAGTCATTGTGCAGCCCGCTACATGGTCCATTGTTGCCGAGCGCCCTAAATGCCAAGATAATCATCGAAATTAGTGGCATCCGTGGTTCTCGCCACTGTACGTTGAGAGGACTACTATGAGTTCATGATCAGCCAGCGTAAGTTATAAATCTCACTCCGCCCCCATATTGTACAGTTGAAGGACTCATCTTGACCTTGCCTACTGCTTCCTTTCATTTCACAGCGGCATCCCATAGGGGTAGAGAAAGGCTGTCAATCGTACGATTTGCCGTGAAGATGACCAATATTGACCTACCCTCCCGGATCAAGGAGGCGATCAAGTTAGAGCCCAAGTTCTTAGTTTCTAGATGGAATGACTGATCAGTTTCTGCGCCACAGGGAACAGCATGGAAAGGTTAATCGACTTAACACCGCCCGCATCCCTCTCTGTCTCCCACCTGAAGCCAAAACCCCTCTATTATATGCACTGGGACTGTCGCGCTACGCAGAGATCTACCTGGGCTTGGAGAAGACTTGGCTGGCCGAGATTGGAGACCCCATCGAATGGATAGAAAGTACCAGCGACAATCTGGACTCCTTCGAAAGTAGCAAAGAGAGGATACAGACTGTATTGCGCTTGATATATCTTCCCGAACTCCTACGCACCAAGCGTTTCGAGGCCGATTTTCTGGCCCTCCAGTCTCTGGACCCAGATATTGCCGTCCTAAATACAGGGGAAGAAAATGCCGGACGCAAGTTCCGACAATATATTGAAGAGGATCTTCCAATGAAGCCACATCTCCTTGTGGCATACATATGGGTTATGTATCAAGCATTGTTTAATGGGGGGCTTTTTATTCGAATGCAGCTACTGAAGGCTGGTCCTGAATTCTGGGGTATGTCTGCAAAAACAATGAATCCTGCTGCGTTTCCAGCACCCCTTTCGTTTTGGCATGTGGACGCGGAGGAATCTACCAAGACAAGCTTCAGATCCCGTATGAACATGGCGGACAAACTCTTGACCGAGGCTGAGCGTGAAGAGATTATGCAAGAGGCAGTAGAGATACTCTGTCGCTGCGAACTCATTACATTGCAACTCGATGCGGATATCCGTGCAAGAATGATGGCATAAATATGCCTACGGTGCTCTGGTATCTCATACTTTATTACTCCACTATAAATTGAAAACGTCTTATTGAAACATTCTTTTGCCTCACTATAACAGCATATTAGAATCCGGGTCGTGGGTACCTTCGGAAGCTGCTAAACTCATTATGCATAGCACGCGAATCGGTGATTTGACCACGCGGGTAATATCTTTTGCGAGAGAGTATACTTGGGAATATTTAGCTCGGATAGCCTGTTTTGTGGGATGAGGCTGAAACAGTCATGGGTTTCTGATCTGGATATCCCAATCAGCGTAGATAGATGGATTGAAGCTCATGTTGTATGAAATTAAGATATAGTTCCAGTACCGGGGCCTACCGAATAGTGGATCCAGTATTATAAATACGAGATTATATAGAGGTCCTTTAAGTATTGCAGATGTAGCATATAGGCTACTAATTTTTTTTTAGAAGAAAGAAAAGAAAGAAAAGAAAGAAAAAAGAGATCTCTGTCTTCCATGCTTTCTTGCATGACTCTATATAGCTGTTAAATATATTAACCAATCTAAAATTCAGGAAGAGCATTAGTTAATAATCTCTCAAAGATTAGAAGTTGCTGACAGATCAGAAGATGAAATTTAAAAGAGGATTTTAGCTATAGCAAAGGAAAGAAAGAAGTAGAGAAAAAACTATATACAAATCTAAACAAGAAGTATAAAAAAAATAAAATAAATAAACAAAATAATATTATATAATTTTAAGGACTTCCGTGACACACTACTCACTGTCACGGAAAATACAAGAAAGAAGAGAAATTAGCAATTCAAATCCTGCTAAGTTAGATCAATATTGGCTGCTGAATCCTCTCTAGCAGATTCTGTCAAGACAAGCCAAACTCAATAATCTTATCACCACCAAAGGTCAAAAATCTGCTGGAGACTACTTACCCTATATATCAGAATCCTATTTGATCGATGTTCCAGTTCTAAGCTCCGGTTTCCTATCGAGGACCGTTCCTTCTATCCTACATAATATATTTCTTGGAATAGATTATATATTTACCATAGAGAGTAATTCCCTGACAGCAAAGTATGATTTATTTTATCACTATACCGTTACCTATTCAATTTTTTTGACACTGCAACACAAGATCCCACAATACAAAGTATTTCGCTAACTACTAAAGTCATCCTCCTAAGTCCGGCCAGGCCACATCTACTTTATTGATCCACCAAGCGCTTAGCTCACTTTCACAGGGACATTTCTCCCGTACATCTAGTATGTAAAAGTGTAAAATTTCGAACTAGTTGTTCTTCCAGCAAGATACTGAAGCAGACAGCCAGTTTCAATACCCGCTTTTTCAGTAGTAGTTAAGTATTTTTTATGTGAAATCCTACTTCAAGTGCAGCTGTGGATGCTGCCCGGAAGGCAAGATAGTGGTTTAGATGGAAATTTCACTGGAATATCTTTACAACTCTCACATATTCAAACTCACACATATTAAGAAGGTATTACTGAGCAGTATAATTGGTTATTTATAGTGACTTTGCACATACTCACAGCTGAAGTTTCTAAGAAGGTAGAATAGTAGATTAAACATGTCTTCCTCCATAGGATAATTTTTAAAACCTGAGGCCCCTCTTCCCTCCAACTGTATAGGAAAATCTCGGATCTCGTAGAGAAAGGGAGAACCTGAAGTTGATGATGTATAAGCATCTTTAAAACGCAGTTTACTTTAGTATCTCTAGATCTGTGACAGCGGTAGATACCATATTACAGAAAAAAAGTATACTCTGTTTCAGTAGTTACTACTCCTCCTTGACTAGTCGCTGCTAGTAATACATATAATATCAAGAAAGTCATCAGTTCCATACAGGGCATGCGTCGCTTCGACAAAGGTAGACACCAATACCAGGCAGATATAAGTAAGATATATTACAAGATTTTAGCAGACGACACAGAGAGCCCACGAAGACCCGAAAGTTTATACAAAATAATGAGAATACTCTTAGACCGTCCTATGTATAGTAATATCTGCAATACGGCTAGCTGGGATCTATAGCAATGTAATAATGTAATGCTCGAATGGCAATTCTTAGACGAGCCCGGCCAGTTCTCTGATTGATAATTAATCCGTCAGAGCCAGTAGATCAGGGCTGGTAAGACAGATCTCATAGGTCAGCTGGAAAGACTCCGAGCTAGGCGCTTGATGCATAATCATATTTAAGCTCTAGCTTTGGTAGGCCGGATATATTCTATATATCTCGGAGGTTGGTGAAGATTACAAATTATCAAATTTGCTATAGCAAATGATGACTGGTTAACAATAATTTCACCGACGTCCCGCTGCGTGGTGTATATTATCTACCAACCCACTCAGCACTCCGGCTGCAGCATCACGAGACCACCAATAATATCAGCCGGAAAAAGTTGTTTGTTGGACCAGGCTAGTTCATGCACCGGTCTTGTGAGTTCTACTAATCATTGGCGGGTGCTTGTCGGATGGGCGCCACGCCATCCAGCGCCCGCTAGTCTCAGGATGGCAAATCCCGCGACTCCGATTAAGGGAGCCATAAGGCCGACGAATTAGTGCTTATAAATGCAAAAGGCGAAACAGAAAGGGCGAGACCTGTATCGTAACGCGTTGCAGACGGAAAGCTTGCCAGTCCATTCAGGGAATTTCGTTCTGCTTTTTGACTTAAGCTATGGCTCTTAGCCCTCTGATTCGACCGGGTCGCTATTCTTTCTCTTAGAACCCTCTCACTGCGCTGCAGGGGCAGATGGTACCAAAGAGCGCACATAAGTGGATTTTGGTGGGTGCTCGAAACTCGGAATAATTGGTGTCCTCCTAGACCTAGGACAATCAGTGGTTGGAAAATGGCGGTGGCAATGTGGAGAGATAAGGATATGGAGTCAGGCGCTCACACACATCCGAGATCCGCTGGCTCAGCTGTCCACGTTCATGCTCTAAATGCACCTTCAGCTTTCCATACTGTTTGGGACTTCTGCCGACGACACAGAAATATTAGCATATCTAGATAGTGCTGGCGGTAGAACGCTCCTGGAGTGAGCTACATCCTTCACTTTAATTGCCCTGAGCTACGCGTTTGAACGGAATATGTTGGAACGACGTCTTGCCTTGTTATACCTTAGAGTCCGGCCTGCCGCACGGTATTGACCCACATCTAGCACATAATCTGGCTCTCCAAAGGGTAAAAGTATGCTTTGCCCCTATCACCCATCTGGTACTGTAATAATTGGGGTGGTTCTGTCTGAGGGGCTGAACATATGTAGCGATGGCATGTATCGCAGGCAGATCAGAATAACTAGATTGAGCGGGCGAAAGCGCCTGAGCCATAGTCTCCCCGGGGGACGGAGATTGGATAAGCATCGTTCGTATCGGCCGGAACATAGTCTGATGAATTCGCTCCTTACTTCTCCGACCCTATCACGGTCCAGTTCTCCTGCTGGTGCTTGTCGGGGATTGTTTTCAATATGTTTTTCCTTTCCCCTCCTTCGTTTCACTGGTGGGTCTCCTGGAACATTCCCCATGTGAGGAAAGGGGTTTGCTTTGCCGGTTAACACCAACGGGGCGTGATGGACTTCTGGCACCTGGATGGGAAGTCAAATAGCAGCGAGCTGCAGGAAAGTCGAAGAGCTGATAGTATCTCCTGACCCGCGTCGATATTGCTGCACGGAGATCGTTCCCGCCAATGGAAAAGGTATGGTATCAGTCAGCCTTGCTCCAGGAACCCCACCGCGCTTTGACTCCGCGCAACATGCAGTATTAAATATATTACCAGTACTAGTGCAGCACGACCTGGGAAAGGAAACTACTATCAAAACCGATATATCAGACTATGCTATTAGCATGTGTATGACACAGCCAGGGAATAATAGAAAACCCAGATTAATTATATTCTACTTAAGAAAGTTAGTTCAGGCGGAACTCAATTATAATATTTATAATAAAAAATTACTAGTTATAGTAATAGCATTTGAATAATAAAGAATCTATTTTAAAAGAATAAAATATACTATCACTGTAAAAACAGACTATAAGAACTTAATTTACTTTATAATAATTAAGAAGTTAACTAGAAGAAAGACAAAATAAATAAAAATTCTATTATTATATAATTTCTGTATTATATATTGTAAAGAAACTGAGAATAGATATACTGATATATTAAATTACAGACCAGATTATAAAATAAGAGAAAAGCTTATTAAATTAATTATTTTAAAATAGAATAAGAACAGATTAATTAGCTCTAATAAAGCTGATCTTATAGTAATACTGGAAATCGGCAACGACCTGACTAGGTGATTGGCTGATGCTACTAAGAATAATAAAATATTCTAAACAATAAGCAAAGACTTACCAGAAAAGATTATTATTAATAAAAATAGATTAGTCTACTTCCACAGATTAATCTTCTTACTAACTAATATGAGAACAGAAATCATGGCTATATATTATAATAAACTATTCAAAGACTACTTAAGAATTAAAAAGACTACAGAACTAATTACTAGGAATTACTATATTCCGAACCTCAGAGAGAAGGTACGTGATTATGTTAGATAATATGAGATATATATTAGGAACAAGCCCGCGAGGCACTAATCCTACGGACAGATGCAAGTACAGGAGGTACCACAACGACCATAGAAATGGGTAACAATTGACTTCGTTGGTCTACTACCTGAATGAAAAGGGCATGACGCTATCACGGTCATCAGCCGATACCTCCTCGACGTAGTTCGACGGCACGTATACCAACGGGGCTAAGCTAGCTGGGACAGGGAAACGATCCTAGGGTTTGACAACCATCCCGCAGAGAATATCTAATCATTAATTCAAATATATATAATGTTGAAACGACGTTTTTAGGTCAATACTGAAGTCGTTGAAAACGCTTGATTCTTCGCTATCTAGGCGCGCTCGGAGGAGCGGTTGAGGTTACGGAGTTCGGGTCACGTGACCTCGACTACTAGTAATCTACTGAGATTACGTTCCAACATATAATATAGAGTAGCACAGAAAAATAAAATATATTTTAGTATATATATATTATCTATTCTATTCTCTTTTATAAAAAGTTTCTTAACAGAAAGAAATACGTAGACAGATCCTGTTCTTTATTATCTATTAATTACTAACCACAGCGAGTAAAAGCTCGGATCAGGACTGAGTTCATTAGTACTGGGTATTTGTTAAATTGTAATGTGACAGCTCAGTGTAGTCAATATGCTTTTATGCCTGGTCAAGCATTTCCTCTTAACCTTTGCTGCAGTGAGTACAGATTTGTGAGTCTTTCTCCCTTAAATAGTTGTTGATTATGCGATTAAGTGGACTGGCCTACCTTAATGCAGTACTACCTATAACTTTAGCAAAGGTATACTTATTGACAACTCATTCACTTATCATTTCTACTGACTATAGCTAACATGAAGCAGCCGGATGCCAGAGCAACTGTGTCTTGAATCCGGAGCCTAATTTGGTAGTAAGGATGCCCAGAACCGAATATCCAAGGAAGTCCGCAGTCATGCTAGTGGTCGCTCGACTAGTCTGCTGCAGTGCATGTATGCTGCAGGCGGTACTGCTTTTCGGCCGGCGACCATTTATTCCACGCTAGCAGCTTGGGTTTCATACTTTCTGGTGATACAATCAACCGTAGAATTTGTTTTCCTCCACTTCAGATGGATGACTGCAATATATTACTTGCGTTGGAAATGGTTTACATATGTGCACTAGTGATACGTGGTCGACGCGCCTTGGGTCCAATATGCTGCGGAAACTTGGCAGGTTTTTGTAAGATCTCAATTGAAGGGGAAGTGAGAGAATATAGCGGAATGATATGCATGCATTGGGTTACATCTAAAAGGCGTCGTGAGCTTGGCTACTTATCGCGGATATATTCGGACTAGAGATCCATAGACCGATCGCCGACACTCTGGACGGTATTGATCGGCCGAGACATGATAACTCGGGTTTTATTACGTATGCATTGTAGGTCGATGCAAGAAAGATGCCCAGTAAAAATGCCGTGTTGATATTAAAGACTTGCTTGTTTGGGCACCCACTGTAGCTGAGGGTCTATCCTTCCTAGTGGGGTTTTGTCAAGATGGTCTCGCTTACACTTGCATTGGAGTGGCGATACCTAGACAAGCGAAACCATACTGTCTTTGACTGTACTGTAATCGACAAGGTCGCGGCTGGCACGCGGACGTCTCAGACGTACTTCAAATGGCAGCCCAAATGAAGCGGTGGTTTATTTTTTCGCGCGCCCGATGTCTAATTTCTGTTTGCTGCCGCATCCATTTCTCAGCATGGTCCCCTTAATAGATCGAAGTTACTCTGACCTTTCTATTCTATCTGGGTCCGCCCATACGATTAACCACAGTTTGTGCCACTGCCGCCAATGAAACTGCCTCGCTTTACGAGGGGGAGCCTCCTCAATGCCAAAACAAAGCTTCAAAAGATGGTTAATAGAGCCACCTGGCCAAGTGAAACGGCATATCGTTCAGACGGGGACATCGCGACCGTATGCCCGCTTCTCGGTTTGCCGCCTGAACTACTTTTACAGATTGTTTCCTACTTATCCATTATCGAAGAAATATGCCTTTTCATGACCTGCAAGCAATTGTACGCAGCATACGGCCCCATTTCGAAGCCAGAGTCGGTGCAAGTCCATCGACCGGCTGCAGCTATACCTCAGTCCTTTTACAATTATACCTCTGTTGCCCTTCGATGGAAACTCCTCCGTTATTTGGAGAATGACCGTTGGCAGGCTTGTTTTAGGTGTTTAGTACTGCACCCGCCGGCTTCGTTTCCTATGCAGAAGGAGGATTTTGAACATGAAGAGCTACTCTGTAGCCTGGGTCTTCTTGCAGGCATTGTGGAGATATGTCCTTGCAAGAAGCTCACCTTCCATGAGACAATGGGTCTGCGTGAAACATTGAGAACACGGCAAAGGTCGCTTGGCGCCTTATCAACCCAGCTTGCCCCTGGTTCTTTGGAACGATTCTGTTGGCATTCCTGTACGCATCACTCTGGAAGCACGCAGCTTGCAATCGCAGTGTTTCCCAGGCTGGAGTCGGAGGACCAGCTGATCATTAAAACCGAGTATCAGCTGTCAATCACGCAGGAACATCCAGGGGTGGAACCATTGACTCCGTATCAAGCCTGTGCACATCGGTACTTGGACTCATGGCTTGCGAGTGTCTGCCAGAGGACTCCATATGGTTTACCCGATAGACACTGCACCCCATGTAGCAGAATATTCAGATGTGAATTCTGCAATACAACGCTCAAGTGTCTCCATGTGTGGCCCCGTGGCAAGGTCGACAGACAGGGAAAAAGGACGTATCTATTCTACACTGAGCGAAATCTGGGGAGGGCATCGTCGTTCCCAGACAAGATATGGGCTGCCCAAAGAAGTCATCCGCTCTTAACAGAGGCCAGATAGGACGCGATCCCAGAATCACCAATTCGATGGCTAAAAACGAACATGTATATTTCGTATGCTAAGCCTAATAATGGCATAAAGAAAGCAGAGAACCAAAGGAGGGCGGCGTAGTTATCCATTACATGGCACCCATAACCTTATGTGAGAATTCTGGAGTACTAGAACACCAGCAATCGGTAGCAAGCTGTTCCGGAGCTTCTTGCGACAGCGGAAATAGTAGGCCACAGATCATTGCGCAGAATGAACTACAGCTCATCATGATTCTAGGCCACTGGCTACTAACTTGGCCTCAAGGCCGAGGATGGATGAGGCCTAACCCATTGAAACAATCGTTTCTGTTATAACCCCCAATAATTTTTCCCGCGTGTAGAGTCAATAGGCTCATGATGTCATATCCATATGAGAGCTTAGATGCCACTTCCATTGGGATCAGCGCTATAGTAGCCAAGCATCGATGCCAGCCCGAACCGGTTCACAGTTCCCAAATGACTCGTTTCCCCACTCACCTCTACTAAAAGGAATTCAAGGTGGCTCTACTTCGTCATACCTTATTCTCATCGGTAATATCTCAACCAAACCCCCTAATGACATGTTCCAGACGCTCGCCATGGAAACAGCCACTGCCGCTGTTACCTTCCTCAAGTTGCCGTTTGGGGTAATGATGGACAACGTAGTTGGCTGCCAGCGATTCAAGCTCTCCCCGGGTCCAGAACTTCGCATGATGCTCATCCAAGATCGATCGTACCTCTTCTGGAACCAGTTCAGGAGCCACGCTTGAGAGTACCAGCTCAAAAGTCCGCAGAAAGGCACGGCAGAGCCGCCATACCAGGCTCATGTGCCAGAGACCCGCCACACAACTCACCAGTATCTCGCGCCATTTCTCACACTCCAAACGCGAGGCGGCGTGAACGCCGACGACGAGAAAGTAGTGCATCATAACCACGGGGATGGATTTCCAGCCATGACAAGCGCGGTATAACAATATGAGTGTTCCCATCGACTCCATGGCTTCCTCCAGAATCTTATTGGGGTTGAAGTTTATTGATCTGGTTGAACCACTTTCTATTAGACTGTGTGGACCAGCTCTGAACATCCCACAGAGGTTGACGACCGTTGTGTAGTAGTAGAGGCTACACCTGTGTTATTACATGTAGAATCCAACGAGGGAAAGGGCTAACGCACTGTAGACAAATGTTATGTGGCAATCTGTTTTTTTCAACTTCCAAAACGGCTGGAAGAGTCTTCTTGAAGGTATCGAGTCTCTGGTAGAGTATGGCAGCCCTTTCCCAACGGTGCGGGTCGGTTGGGATGCCCGACTGGGAGGACAGCTGAACCACATCGTTGACGATGATGAGGAAAGTACGACGAGCCCACGTGCTTGTGTTCGTGTATGGCCTGTACAGGGGGGTGGTAAAAGGGTATGGAGTCCACTGTTCATTGAGATCCCCATCGCGTGCTTCGCCTTCGTCTATGAATATTTCCGGGGGCTGCGACCAAACGGATGGCCTTCCAGACACTTGGGCCGATATTCTATTTACACTTAGGTACCGCGGCCAAGATATAATGGAAATGTGACTCACAACTCAATGTCATAGACTGCACAAGCGGTAATCTTATGTGCTCGCAAGTTTGACTCCGCATCCGTCTCACAGTGCGCACGGAAAGTCTCTGCTGATGAAGTATGGAGACCGAGCTGCAACGCCATCAGCGCGCCATATTGGATATAACGAACCCCAATTTTGTCCCTACCCATGGCGCAAAAGAACAGTCCGAGGAGTAAGCTTGACTGCATAGTAGGGAGGCAGATTCTGTTCTTATCCCGGCGCCAGTACTTCTCAACAACCGTGAGAAGCAGTTTGGCAACCTCCGTCTCTCTGCGACGGTCCCAGGGTTTTGCCAGGTTGTATGAGAAATGCTGCATCCGTCAGTAGCATGTCGCACACCGACGCAAATTACCTACACATGCATAGAAGAGGATAACATGGACCAACAAAGAGGAGCAGAAGCCAGTCTCTCCGCGATGGAAATGGTTAAGGAACAAGCTAGGCTCGATCAATCGCCACGTGGGATTCTCCCAGACGAAGAATAAGGAGAACAGATGCGATGCGGTGGTGTTATCGACCTGGTCCGACCACAACCCAATCGCGTTGACGCTGTAGGGGGGCTGCCGTTCGACCATCTGTGCTTGGCCTGATAATTGGGTTATCCAGACCTGCTGCATATTTTCCAGGCTGATGACAGGTCGCTGTTCTGGAACTTGTCTAACCAGGCGTGTCGCGGCGTCATGGGCCGATATGCTGTGGCGGATGGTATTTATCACGGATGGCAGTTTCTCCAGATCACAGTCATGGATGGCTTCATAGATCCGATGCAGCTCGTAGAGTCGGTCCTGTAGTACTTGCAGCGCATTGCCCAAACCTTCTAGACCATTCTGCTGTGTCACTGTACGAGAGGCTCGTGGGACCTGCGCGAAATTCTGTTGCGCAAGCCAGCTTTAGCACATTGCCACCAGCAACGGTACATCGCATTATGACCTGTAGGTTCGACTTAACCCTGAAGGTTCTGCAACGGTGGATGGCAAGGAATTGAACGATCGGGAAATGATTGATCGTATCATGTATTCATGGCCTTTTATTATGCACCTTAATTCATCCAACTCCTTCCTTTCTCTAGAACGTCTCTGTTCTGAGTACGTGCACTCGATTGCCAGTCCTTCACAGTGGCTGCACGTCGGCTTCGTCCCATTGCACTTAGCTTTGCGCTTTCGACACCCGTCACAGGCTTGCGATGTGCGGGATCGAGCGTTTAAGGTTCGCACCCGGGCTTGTGCTCGGGGGATCAATAATTTGTGCGAATGCTCGTTGGTCTGAGAGGCCAGCAGCGCCCGAATGGAAGGAGCCATCTTGGCACGATACAATACCGAGGGTCGATCTTAGTCAGGCTCAGACAAGTGAAAAGGGCCAAATGGACATCGGCTTTAATAGCCTAAATGGTGGTTGTGAAGACACTGTCTGGCACAGTTCGACCGTCCCTCCCCTTAAATCTCCTTCGCTTTCGGTAGTTTAGCGGTCCATCCTTAATGATAATATGCCGAGCGTCTCATCCAAGCTGTGCTAGAGCAGACGCCGTGCGTGCACGCTAATCCTTAGCCCGGCGTTTGAAAGGAAGCTAGGGGCATTATAGTCTCTCTGTTGGAGTATGTCTCCACCCGTGGATGCAGTAGGATAGATAGATCAGTTGGCTGTAATCTAAGTGGGCTCCCCAATAGACGTATCACGTGCAAAGAACTACCATGTGGGTACTATAACTCAAATTTAGTTGGTGGAAATAAATACCAACCAATGGTATCTGAGCGGACTCGTCCGAAAGCCGAAGTTGAAGAATTACAGAGTAGATAAAATAAACGACCGGTAATGCTTTTCCGCAAAAATCCGAATAGTATTCTTAGTCTCGAGTAGCACGCACGCCCACTAATCACGATATCCTGTGGTATCCCAGCTAGCACATGTAAGGTATGTACATCATTAGTCATCGCGCGAAGAATGCAGGCGAGAAAGGTGAAAATGCTCCTCTATGGAGAGGTCTATGAAAACTACCCCCAATCATACATATATACACATATATATAAGCATCATGGTGGCCTGGTGACGTCCCGGTAATCATCCTAGATGACACTCCTACGGACATGTAAGCGGAGATTTATCTACTCCATACTAAAGTACATCGTATAGTAGGTTTGATTCTGGCAGTTAGTGAGAGATCGGCTTTTGGTCTATGAAAGTTCCCATTCACAGGCACGCATAAATCTGGGAGGTATGATACTGCTTGCCGGTTAGCCAGCAGACGTACCTGTTGGGTGTAGGAGCTGGCGACGACGCTGCTAGGTTGAGTCTTCACGGTAAAGAAACCCCACGGATAAGACTCGCCCTGCAAGTATGGCCAATAAAGAAGATGGGACGTCTCGATCCCGTTGTACGGTGGCTGCGGCGGCGGGGCTCTCGAAGAATCGTCATAGGGGACACTATATTCAACCGTGGCCTCCTGGTGCATTATAGTTTCGTGGGGTTCAGCTAGTTCCCTGGGTGGACCGACGGGTGTGGCTGGACCTGATGTCAGGGCAACAAGACAAGACTCGGATAAGCTTAGCGGGGTTTACCACTGGAACACCCTTGAGTTGCGGTGCCTTAAGTAACCACATCTCTTCCATCTGAGACATTTTGGGACTATTATCTACCATCCATGGAGTCTACGGAAAATTCATCTTTTTCATTCCCTGAAAGTAGGAGATGCAGGGGAGATGCAGATTAGGTATCTCATGCCGCAATAATAGCTGATCGAGATATGGTAGTTGCCTCCTGCTGATCATTGCGACCGGTCCAAGCCATCGATGTGGGATACGAGGCGCCCTCTATCTAGTCATCACGCTGCATACTAGGTTCTATGAAGGCCCACATTCTCACGCTCGTCTTAAACCAGATGCGACTTGTTGAGTTGTATTTCACTTAACCCCCACTGAGATAGTGGCCGATAATACACACCTGCTCAAAAAGGAATGTCGCTTGATTGGGTAATAGAACATGCAGACAGTTGGGTGATCCTCTCAACAAGGTAAAAGTAAAACGATGCTCATTGCTTTGAAGGCATTCATCCTGGTGGTGGAACAGTGAGGATTCTTTTGCGACGAGGAAATACTGTGCACCAAGAAAAAGATGGTTGAGAAGAGAGGCGCTGGTAAGACTAACGTAAATAGTCCAACGACGTTGCAAACCCCCATCTCTTGCAGTTCTGGTTACTCCTACGTTGTGGGTGGTCCTAGACTTCGCCCAAGTCCAGGAGAGGGCTTTCCGTACCGAATTCTGAATATCTCCCGTGGCGGTTCGGAAGGAGGCATGTTCCGAGGGTGCAGAAAATGCGGTAAATCGTTTGTGGAACTGGATTGCCATCCAATCAAGGAAGCGGAAACCATACGTTATTAGTAGTAGCGTCCCGCTTTCAAGAGACTCCCCATTCACCAGAGAGGATGAGCATCTCTGCCTCCGGTCGCCAACCTCCTAGAGCTGCATTTCTTTCAAACAAGACACCTCATTAGGTTCTCTTAAGATGGTTATCTATCAGACATGGCGTCAACGGTCAGTACCAAGGAGCCATTATCGCAAGAAGAGACAACCCCCTTTTATCGCACCTGGGAAGAATACAGAAAGGTAGGCTGGTACTTCGAAGCGATATAGAATTTGTTCGATCTAAACCCAATCCCCTACGTACAGATTCGCCGAACGGTTACGTATATGCACCACCGCAAACATTCTAGTAAGCAACTGCAGTAAAAGCTCCAGACCAAACGGCGCTCTGAACCTTCATCTGCACATCCACACAGGGGAGAAGCCCTGTGTTAGTGTGAAGGTTGCCTCAAGGCTTGTTCCGATGTATGGCCTCGAATTCCTTGCTGCAGTGAAGATACCAGCCCGTATGTCTTGCTGTTAGCTGAATCTAATCGACTTCAAGTTTAGCGCGTCACCAGCGGATTTACACAAGAAAGCGAGCGTCCTCATATATGTGAGGCGCTTGGCTGTGGAGGTGAGGAGATAATTTCAGGATGAGCAAAATATGGCTCTGGCGGAAATCGAACTGTTGAGCAGGTTTTGCCGCAAAGGTACTCTGACCCAAAATCAACATAGATCTCATTCCGCGCAAACCGAGCTCCGACCGTCTGTCCGAAGCGTAATCTAGTGTATAGCTACATTCAAGGGGCTAATGCCATGCTGGGATCTATTGAGCCACCTCAGTATTTACTGCTGTACAATTACAGAACATGGCTGTATGACCAGGCGACTTGAGTGCGGCATGGTCGGGTTATCATGATATCAGATCTATAATGGTCCCATTCGTGACCACCATGACCAGGTGCCTGGAAGAGACCAGTAGAGCGGCTGGTTGCAGAGATCGCTATCAGGAAGTGAACGAACACTGTTTCTGAACACGTGAAGATGGAACCTGCCGGCTCATCCATATCTCATGCTTCGCATATTGAATATATTATGCCCGCACTGTCTGCTTAATACCTTGTGATCATAGGGAAGCTGAAATGCAGGTGCTACGGACGACACAGTCAACATCGTGAAAAGGCCGCAGCCAGGGAGTCCTACGAATATCTCAGGTGCTAGTGGAAGCGTAAAGAAGAGTACAATGACACATTACCTTTACGTGGTTGCACTCAACCTCAAGTGTCAACGGATCTGATTCGTGGAGACCCGAATCAATGGCAGGTGCGCTTTATAGACCCAAGTTACTTTGGTTAGCAGCAATGCGGGAGATAATACTAACGAGGTTCAGGAGCAATACTATCTGACAATTGAAAAAAAAAAAAAAAAAAAAAAAAAAAAAAAAAAAAAAAAAAAAAAAAAAAAAAAAAAAAAAAAAAAAAAAAAAAAAAAAAAAAAAGAAATTATAAAACACTCCTCGGCCGGTGTTTTCGCTGGCCAGGTCTGCTCCCTACAATGATTCCGACCGACTAGGATCATACGCAAGGAAACCCCACTGGTAAGTGACAAACCGTACCTGTTGTTCCCGATCATTTCCTGTGGCTAGCTCAGAAAAGGACAGCCGGCAGATGATAGTCACGCTCGATAATCCCATCCCTTGCACCCCTATCAGGGCAGGGAGACGGAGTCAATACCCCCCCCTACCTTATAAGAGCAACAGGTAGCAGACAACCCCGTTACGCTCTTCAGCCACGACTGAGCCGACAACTCATCACTTTTCCAGTTCCCCGACCGCGGCAGAGCCGTCTCCAGATACGCACGATGAAAGGCAGCACGCCGCGGCACAAACTGCACGAGACGATAGCAGATCCAGCAGCACAAAGGAATGTGCTCGATCCTCACGATGTATGATAGCCTTCCGAGCTCCAAAGTCCCTACGCTAACAGTATGGTCTAGTGTAAATTCGGAGCGTGCCAGTCTTTCCATCTTAAGCGATGGTGGGAAGAAGAGGCACTGAAAAGCATACCTTCTCTGCTGGTTCATGATCTGGGAAGGCTAATTCGATATAATCTCTTTAGCAATAGTGATGCTGCCATAATCGCACTGTGGAGCCAAGAGGATGAAACAATTGACAGGTTCCTCGCGGAAATCTGGCCATCGCGCCCTCCTCCATCTTGGTCAGCCTTCCCACGTGAACAGAAAATCAGCACTCTGATCAACATGCTGCATTCGGATCAACAAAGCCCATCTCGTTGGGTCTCATTATTCTGGGACATTGCTGAGATGTCGGATCCGCTTGATATTGCGAGGAAACTCGATGCGGAAAGTGAGACCTCTTTCAAACAGATTCCGTTCGAAGAGTGGGTTCGCCACCTTCTAGGATACCATGCCTTGGCAGTTCAACGGTTCATGCAGCAACATACAATGCTTGGTGACCATATCTTACGCCATCTTGGTGCACATCCTATAGAGAGAGAAACGTATGCTGCAGTGGAGAGACACCTGCGGCAACGAAGTCCATTCGTGCACTACGTGATCCAACAGGTACTGCTGGGAAATCGGCCTCGCTTCCAACAGCGGCAAGTCTGTCCGCCCCCAGATGTGCCAGGTTTCCATTTGCTTGCACGGCCAATACAACTGCTCTTCAGTACCCGTCAGAAAGGACTTACAACAACATTGAAGATCTTAGATGTTCTGTCGGCTCGCTTCGAAAAATCGCACTCCAGCGCGTCAATCATTGACTGGACCCGGCCATTAGATACGTCCATGCTCTATCTGAGCGAAACTCTGCTATCGGATTCGACCGACACTCTAGTGAAAACCCTTACCGACGCTGATATAATAAACTTCGACGCCTTTTCGCCCGCCGATCTTCTGCACCACCCAACGCGAGTGCGTTATATTGAATCAAAATGGCACGCGCTTAGAGATGCCGTCTCCGAATGCTGTGCAGCAGTTCCGGACCAAGTGGCACGCATTCTCGAAGCGACCCGGGCTCTTCATATAGGCCGAAACTATCACTCAAGTACGGCTCTTCTTCACGGTCTGCGGGCCTACTTGGTCTCCAACTACGTCAGGATTGTAGAAGAACCCCATCAGAACTTTATGAGCATTATAGAGATGGTTCATATTGTCGACAGCTCCAACAACTTTGCGACGTACCGCAGAATGTTCGAGGAAATGCCTGGGATTCCATTTCTTCTCCCTCACTGCCGCGAGGTCGACGAAAGAGGGTGGCCGGCCGTGCAGGAATTTTCCATATGTTTTTCTGCCTGTAAATTACACAGATAATCTACCGGTGGTCCATGATACTGAATGAGCTTTGAGAACCTAGTCATATGGGATATAGACCGGTAGCATCAGTAAGGCAACTACTACCTAGTGAACGTATCACCAGGGTTCTGAGTACGGCAGATTTTTACATTTACCTGATACCGCATTTTTGCATGACGGTGTAGGTGATGCGTATAGGATGACTCTAGACCACTTGTGCAAATTGCTGAGGGGATCAGGCATATCTGAGCATGTCTGCAGGAGACTGCTCGGATTTAACGGGCCCTACAAAGAGATGCATACTTGGAAGGGGCCTGGCTATAAGATCGGAGCATCGGGATCTTTTTAGGCATTCCATAAAGTGGAACCTGGTTAGGAACGTTACTTTTGCCGCTAATAAATAAAGTATTGGCAGTATCGAAGTATGAATTTAGAAGGGACTGCACTTTTCCAGAATCCTATAGTCGGCGGAGGGCAATAGAGAGTAGACTCAAGGCCCAAGCCAATACATGCTCAGATATCTGAACAGCAAAGAATAACAGAAAATTACGGTGAGCCAATTTTGGCCCGACCATCGAATGATGTGTCTGTGCTTTCCGGACCTTGATACTGTTAGGCCCTTGCTGATGGTGATATACGTCTGTGCTGTAGGCAAATATAAGCAATTGCTTTTCGTAAGGTCCACCATAGCTAATAATTGGTTCTCAATAGTCTCAACAACGTTTCCTGACATCTGGTGAACTTTACTGAAAGAAATGATACTGTCCTCGTTCCTTAATATGCTAGTTTCGCCAGGATAAAATTAGCATAAGCCACTGTACTGGTATAAGTGTGAAATGGGAGAAGTCTGATACCTACCGTGAATGGCGGCCTGAACGAAAGCATTGACAGTTTTCAACATCCTCCCGAGCTCTCCTTGCCTCAGTTAGAGGATTCCTCACCAGTAATAGTCTATTGATCTTCTAATGTTCCACCAATTGCCTATCACCGGACAGCTCTAATCGGACGTATTAGACGCCCTATGGGGCACATGTATTGAAGCCTACAAACAGTTACGCTGATGGAATAGTCAACATGACTCGGGAATGCTGTCCCACCTACGATGCCAGGCCAACATGTCCTACTTAATTCTTTTCGTCTCATAATATAAAGCTCTGTCTGTTCTACATTTGCAATGAAAGCCCCAGACAGCCAAGGGACATCGCCATTTGCAACATTTATCACGCAAGCTCCAGTCACTATCACTGATAGTTTCCCACGACCATCGACAGTTACAGTTACCATTTCACACTACGTAGAGCGTCATGGTTTGCTCACGAAGTCTTGCTTCCTTTCACCTCGACATCTAACATTCCCTGCAGAGACCGTTCAACGAAGCCCCAACGACGAGTATTGCCTCTTCGTTAGAAAAGGTACGCGTTTACTCCTACCGTCATGTCCTCATAGTAACAGTCTTAGGCGATGGAACTCTGCCTCCATATAGGATTCATGATCAAAAAAGCCACTGCATCTCTGGATGAAGACTGTCTTGAAGGACCAACTCCACAGCTACTGCTCAATGACATTGATGACCTCATTCGCTTACAATCCGGGCTATCAGCGGATTTTTTACAAATATTTGAAGCGGTAGCTAGTGCCGCGGATAGCATACCATCGCCGTGTGACTCAAAATGAGCGCGTGTGAAGATAACAGGTTACGATATAAAGGGGAAATGATGTTGACACTGTGAAATGCTGGGCTGTGCAAATGGGACGTTGGTTCATCTTGGCCGTACGGCTGACCAAAGCTTTCGGTTGAGCTACGTTACCGATGTCTAGGTTAACATACATTATTCATTGACACCTACTAGCGTCTGTTATCTTGTATAATTACTCGTTATTGCCTGTTATCATTCGGCTTTATCTCATTCCTGTCGTTGCCTTTTTCTCATCTGGGGGTGTGTGTGGGGAACAAGTGCATGCTTGTAGGGGTGCTCGGCTGCAATTGCGATATTGTAGCAATCCCATTTGAGAAGGGCAGTAACGGAACAATCCCCTTAATTGTCGTGTTCGAGCTCCCATTTGGTATCAAGGTTATCTCCGAGACACATCCCCGCCTGTGGTGGTGAGGCCTGGAATGTACCTAAGCATACCGGCATTCTTTCGGACGCCCTCCGGCCGGACTTTAGTATTGCCGCTTCATATCCGTACTAGTAGCTCCTGGCCGATCTCTTTGCACAGGCAGCGGTAGATCGCAGGCTCTGATTGGAGGATCAACTTCCGGTCCAATCATAGAGCGACAATGACTGCTTAAGTGACAAGGATGAGACAACGACCTCTGATTGGAGGACTGGCAAGCTTTTCAGCTGGCTGCTGGTTCCCACCGCCGTACCCTACGACAGGGCCATTTAGAGCAAGAAGCTTTCTTGTTTTGTTCTCTTCTTGACGATGCCTAATGTCACTGTCCGCCGAAGGACAGTTACCAGATTGACGCCGCAGTGATAACTATCAACTACTATGGAGTGAAGTCCGGTGCCGCGGTCCGGTCCCACTGGGGCGCTTCGATCACATTATGACCGCCACTGTCGAAGCCATATGTTCTATCGTCGAGTCGCTAGGCAGACCATTACCACAACGCCTAGGGAAACCAGGTATTCAATTTTGGCCATGCCACACCCCCCATTGCTCCACATCGGAAATGATACCAGTTGTTGTTAAAGCAAGGTGTAGAAGTGCTCAGGGTAAGGCACATAAAATTCTGAGCAATTCCTTGCGATTCTGCTGCACATGCCAGGATAAGTTGAGGTCTCTGGGACTTGGAGGATCACGACGCATGGTAGCCAAAAAAGGTCATATCAAACGGCAATGGTGGCTCTTAATAGTGTATATCTTGTGCATTTTGTTCACCGATATCGAAGAACTCGAGCCCTGCATCGGGCGTTTTCCAGTTACTAGATCCATGTAGATGGTGGTTGGACCTGGCGTGTGAAAAGGGCTGATAGTCTCACCGATACAGCCGGCCGACCTTGGCCAAACTCTACAAGACATACGGTATGCTCTGCTCTTGAACTGTCACCCCTGGGACGAACTAGAATTTTGACCCCTTGGTATCCGCGGATGTTTTACTTCGTGCCTAGGGAGGCCGATCACCAATCCAATGTCTCCATTGGCTTTGCCCTTCACAGGTGGGTACTTACGTGTCAGAACAATATCAGTAATCAAATACAATGGAGGGAAAAACAGAAAATGATAATGACGACACACTAGGTATTTGGAATTGTAGAGATAGAACTGGTTACAAATGAAAATCCCGTGGAGATCATAAATAGCTCCAAGTACTAATAGGAGTTCAGAAGTATATAAAATGAATCCTATATAAGACTGCTCCTGCCCACCCTGCTTATCCTCCAAACACAATATTTAGTTTCCTCTCTATCATACTCCCTGAACTGCCTACAATGCAAGTCAAAACATTCATTACCTTTTTCTTCCTCGGTGTCGGCATAGCTACGGCAGCTGAGACGACATGTGATAACAGCTCTTCCCAGAAGGGCTGTAACTGGGAAGGCACTGCTCCATTTTGCGATGGAAGCAATCATCCTGTTGGTTACAAAGATAATGGTTGGACGCTTGTGGCAACAACCAAGTATGAAGACCATACAGCTCTGGAACTCACAGGCAAGATCAGCCTGGAATGCTATGAAATCTATGGATCCGGCTGCGTGACTGGTTGGAAGAACTTGTGGTGTCCGTGTATGAGCTCCCGATATCCTTTTAATCCTATGTTACATAAAGCTAACTTATAGCAGCCAACTAGGGTGCAGGACTTATGGGGTATAACTTAATTAAGTTTCGTCGCTTTGGGTGGCTTGCATCTACTCTACTCGATGGGTTGTATAGGATACAGGATACCGATTCTTTTCCTACAGCCTAGGGTCTTCCGGCTTGCCCCAAGCACATTCCCAGATAGCCTACTTATGAACCGAATTTCCACGATATTTTCAATCTGTATATCTGCTATTAGTTTCATAAATATCAATTAGTGATTCCATAAGTAAACATATCAGTGCATATTTCTAGAAAGCTCCTTCATGAAGCTGTAGAGTTTTTAATCCGATGACTATCCAAACCGTGGCGTAAGGGCCCGACGGGCCTACTGTATTCCTGCCTGATCACCCTCAACTGTGAGGAGACCGACCAGGTGTGTTACAGCCATTTTATTATGATTGGCAGAACCATGAGAGAGACCATTCGGTGGCGCCCGTGTTGTGGCCGTGGGGGCACAGATCGAGAGGTGCTCCTGGTAATCCCCCTCCTTTCGCCTTAGACGCTGATCAATGGCTAGTTGCCAGTTACTTTGAGGCGCTCGTTACTGTTGTTCTTTGGTCTGGACGTCCTATTCCATTTTAGTAGCTGGAGGCTGCCCTTCCTGGTGGTGAACCTGTTGTCAAGCTTGATTTGTTTGTGTCGATTGCGGTCCGCCATTACACGGTGTTGGCTGAACCGCTTGGTTTGGGAATTTGCGACTGAGGAAACGCTTGAATGTGGTCGGATCGTGACAATTTTTACCCCCTATGATGTGGCGCTTGTTCACTGACTTGCTTCTGTTCTCCATGACAGCGAGCCTGACTCGTCTACGGCACGTGTACCACACGATCCGCTTGTGCCACATCCGATACCCGCCATGGCGGGTGATAACTTCTATTAGGAAGAATAGACAACAATTACTCCTATTACTATTGCTTACTGGAGGTGGTTGTATAATATGTGTGCAAGTTACATGGATGATTATACCGTTCCATATGTTCAGATCATTATGGACAATAGCTATCACCCTGCAGTTATCTCCCCGGGGATCCTTACCTGCACTCTTATCAGAAAAAATAGATGCCTAGTCGGTTGGGATTGCTTTGCTGTCTCTATTAGCTTGTATAGTCTGCAAGAATACGTCCATATCGGACTTCACCGAAAATAAGTCGAGCTACTCTACTAAGAGGACAGTTGGTTGTCAGCAATAATAAATGTAAGTATTCAAAAATACGTCGAAGAACCATGTGTAGCCATGTAACCAGAAAAGGTTTCTACTACTTACTTGAGCAGGTGCATGATTACTTGGAGACCTAAATTCGGGGCGGACTGTCCGCACTGTTTCCGGGCTCCTCGGGAGTCCTTGTGGAGTTACTCCAACGAGACTTCAGCTCCGAGATCTCCATCCACAGAGGTTCCAGGAAACGGAAATGCTCGCTTACTTCCCGTGGTGCAGTCCAGGCTGATGAAAGACAACTTCCACTAAAGCTTCTAGTGACCCCAGTTTTCACTGACAACGCATCGAACTCCATATATATCATCTATCCGGCCTTGAAGGTAGGTGAAAATAGAAGATTAAATACATCTACAAGGCAAGAGCTGCAATAAAAGGCTACCATGACGCATATGATCATGGAGGGAATTAGTGGGGCATCGGGCATGCGCGGCTTTATCCCAAAATGTCAACCAAATCCCGATGTGGAGACACAGACAAGGATTATTTAGCACGAAGTTTACACTATAATAATTCATTATGATTAATATACTTTATATCTGGTCATGTACATTTGTTTTTATTATAGTAATTACAGGTTAATGATTTTTTTCTTTCGCTAAATATTAATTATTACTCGTGTAATTAAGTAAACTGGTCTATCTTAGTATAGTATTATCAAAACTATACTTATTAATAAGTTGTTTATTTATTTATTCTACTGAATATAGCTAATATGAAGCAGCCGGATGCCAAAGTGACTGTGTCTTGAATCCGGAGCCTCTATCAGGCGCTGCTTCTGTTAGTGTTCTCAATAAAGTCATCGGGTACTATGAATCTTGGATGGCTCAGAAGGGCTGCCATAAAGTGACTCCTACAGACCTGCCGTTGGATGCGCCAACGCAGTGAGTCCTAGCTCTTGTTAATTAGGATTCAATCTTACTTATACTTACCACCTACAGTATAAATTTCGCGTTTGCATATATAAACACACGCACATGCAATATTCATACTATGGATAGAGGAACACCTTCCAGCCTATTTCAAGATGCAACAAATGTAAAGTCATTCAAACCCGACATCAATGTCTTCATCAGCGTGGGTGGCTGGACGTTTTTCGACAACAACACCGGAACACAACATATTCACGGTCAGATTGCCGGGGATGCAACAAAGTGACAAACAATCGCAGACAACGTTCTCCACTTACTTAAACAGTATGGATTTGACGGACTGGACATTGATTGGGAATACCCCGGAGCAGGAGATCGAGGAGGTAGCCCCGAAGATACAGCGAATTATGTTCTTCTGCTGAAGGCCTTGCAAGAAACTTTAGACGCCAGCGGAAGTAAACTCGGCCTAACTTTCACGGCCCCTTCCTCATACTGGTATCTGCGCTGGGTTGACCTTCCAAATATGATCAAATATGCAGACTGGATTAACTTAATGTCCTATGATATTCACGGCGTGTGGGGCTCAAGAGACACGATTGGAAGTATTGTCCAATCACATACATACCTAACGGAGATCGAACTCGCGGTCGATCTATTCTGGCGAGTGAATATCCCACCAGAAAAGATTGTAATGGGCTTCGGCTTTTACGGGCGCTCTTTTACTCTTGCTTACAAGTTTTGTACAAACCCTGTATGCCTATCTAAGGGTGCTTCAAGTCCCGGTCCGTACTCAGATACTGGTGGTATTCTGGCATACTATGAAATCATGGCCGTTCTGAACGGCGCAGGCTCGTACTCTAAACAGTCGATCAAGATCACACCTGTCTATGACCGTGCAGCTGCGGTGAAATACTTCACTTTTGACAAAGTCCAGTGGTTTTCCTATGACGATGGGTCGACCTTTGCGCAAAAGATCGCGTGGGCGAATGAAGTTGGACTAGGAGGAGCCATGATCTGGGCTTCGGATCTGGGTAAGTATAAAAGCATATTAGCATGCCGCAGTATCCCGTCGTTTGGGGCTCTAATATAGATGGCAATAGCTGATGATAAATACTCAACTCACGCTGGTCTCACGAACAGAACTATCATGTCCAATCCTACCCTGCAGGGCATCGACAAAGCTTTGTCAAAGCCTAAGTCCGTCATCCAGGATTCAACAAGTTTTAATGGCCAGAATTGTGTTGAATATGAGGGAAAATGTGTGAAGCTCAATGATAAAGATGCAATGGCTAACGCCTGTGGGAGTGGATACACCGTGGTGGGCTGGGACGATGCTGGATGTGGCAAGAAGAACTGTGTATGGTCTCCCCTTTCCATACGTATTGTGATAGACCTTTAAATGTCTATTATTGATCTGACATAACCCCCTAGCACTGTGGCAAGCCAGTCTGCTGTCCAACAAGTAGCGCTGCCAAGGACTGCATATGGCGTGCTGACAACACTGGCGATGCGGGCGTAAGCTCAAATTGGAATGCGCAGTGTCAGGATGGGGAGATCAACATTGCCGGCATCCGATCGTCTTGGGGCGGTGGATTCGTGAATGATGGGGACACAGATAAGTGTGGTCGATGATAAAAGTATTCTGCTGTCCTGATCCGGAGTATAATGAGGTTGTTAACGGATGTGCTTACGCTGACTGGTATAGTTTCACTATTTGCTGACAAAAACATCTCCGAATTCCGACGTGATCGTGCCCTGACTTGAAACTAGTGGAAAGCATTGTCCAACGGACAGTACTGAGATTTTTATTGAAAGAAACACATGCTGGTCCAAGGGCCAAAAGTACTGCTGTTCGACTCCCGCTGATCTGGCCGTCTGCCACTGGGTGGGTGGGGCCTCTGGAAATGACCGTGCCAACGCAAAATGTGCATCAACAGAGCTAGCAATTGATCGGGCCACGTACGGTGACTTGTCCTCGGGCTGCGACTGGAACAGAAAGAAGGTCGCTTGTTGTGATGCTCAGAAGGCAGCTCGCGAGCCGGCGACATGCGGCGCGGATTTGTGCTCGCTCTTCCTCGGCTGGTGTCCTGACGATAGCAGCAATGAAAGCTCTGTTTCCTACCGAAAACGGAGTGATCTCACAGCATTTGATAAACGAAAGCTTCAAAAAAGTACTTCGTGAAAGTAGGGGGTGTTCTGGTTGAAACCGTTGCAGTGGCGTATCCTAGTGTCGGACAACTCTTTACTGTCGCCAATGCCGGCCAGGTTGTCCGCTGGGCCGTTCGTCTTAATCAAAACTACTGCACAAGCAACGCCATGTCAGTTTCTTCTCTTCCGGCCAGGCTTGTCGCCAAGGCTTTCTACGCCAGTTTGAACTCGGATCACCTTATTGATGTACGCGTCTTATTCCCGTACCCTGCTCCTGATCAATTGTGTATATGTAAGTATATTACGGTGGCTAACCGAGGGATAGAGAGAAGTCACCGACTCCTTCATCAAGGCCGCGCTATCCGGTTATTTGTAGTCCGAGAATTCTCTGCTCTTGTGGCAATGTCTCCCATCGGGGTGCGGTCGTTGCCTCGGCCGATACACCTGCCAGCCGTATCATGGAGGCCTTTGGATCGACCAAATCTCCCGAACCTTTGCTGGTCACTGCTGCTGGGATTAACGCCGTCAAGGGGAGGATCGTGGGGCACAACGCTCCCTTCACCATTGGTAAAATCGAAGAATTAGCCGCAGCGGCAGTAAAAGACGATAGTGATGAGGCAGTTAATAATCTGCTCACGGCCATCCGAAACGTCAGTTTTGCTCTCTACCATTGGGAATGAGACAAATCAAATGGCTAAATGGCAAACTAGACTTTCGCCCTTTTCGAGTACTTCAGTGATTACCGGGCAGTCTGACAATGGAACAACATGCTCCAGCAAGTCGGTTTGCAATGCGCGCATATTGAACATGTAACTGGCATGACGGATTTGCAAAAATGGTGGTGGATCTGGGCGCCGGATTTCTTTCAGGTCGTCCAGGATGAGGCGCAGGGCTGGGCCACTGCGACGATCCAGGCAGCAGCCAGTGCTTACACGGAAGCTCGCATGGCAGGTCGCAGTGTCAAGACAAACGACGTGGTGGTTGCGGCCTTGCGTGAATTCCAGAGCAAAGTCAGTTTGATGAGAATGCCGACTATGAATGCGGACAAGACTACAATTACAGACTGAGGCTCGGTAGGTACTAGTAGCAGCGGGGGAAAACACGATTTGGTGGTTGAAGACATGTAGATTCAGGTGCATAAATTTTATCTAGGTACAACAAATTTCAACTTGCAAGAAACAAGTAGCTTGTGACTCGGGTCACAGCACTAAATATAAATCGGATTTAAATTAATTTACCAGCCCGGAAACTAGCCCGTAATCACGTGATGGGTACTGTAACACTACCGCGGAGTGACTTAAAGTACTTGAGTTACACCCGACCCCCTTTTTTTTCAGGCAACATTCTCTAACTATCTGCTAAGCCCAGATCACAAAACTCCTGTCGAAATTGCTAGAATGACCCTCCTTACTCTAAATACTAGCGTCTTGCTTAGAAGGCATACATACCAAATACCGAACACCATCAACCGGACCCTGTTGAGAACCCTTCCGCTCTTCTCCCTGCCGGTCACCTGGAATGGTCACCGGCCACTACTTCATAGCACTACCCCACAACCTTACATAAAGAAGAAGACGCTCCAACTTCCTTCTAGATTCTTATCATCATCATCACCGCGCGCTGTGACTGGTCCTCGAGACTCTAAACGTACCCCATGGTGGCCCTTCAGATGGAATGATGCCGACTTAATTGAGAAGAATATGCATGATATGGGCTTCCAGAACTGGGGCATCGTTATCTACCGTTGCACTTACGAGAGTGATTCAGACTGGGAAGAGTTTATGTCTCGCTTTCTTCGCCAGGTTCGGACGTCACTCGAATCTTATGATGGTTTGGACTTGCTCGATTCCTTCAGGCCGACGGTAATGGACGACAAGACACAGTTCAGCGGGGTGACTCCAGAAACCGTACGGGATCACTTCAATGCGTGGTCGACTACCGCGTGTGAAGCTGAGCAAGGAGTTCCGCTTACTGATTATCGATGGTATTCTACGGCACGGTACGGACTTTGTATCATAGTGGATGAGGAGGCCTTGAAGTCTGTTCTCAATATCCCACATAAGAAGTTGGATGTATAGAATAACACTGATATATGATTCTTGTGAACAGTAGACATGAGGTAGACCGCGCTGGTATAAAGAAATCTGATGAAAAGATTGAGAATAATAATTATGAGCTATTACATGGATGTATATATGAAGATGTTGGCTGGATGAAAGTGTGTTATAGTATGGTTCAGATATATGCTTACACTCATTTGGGAGCAAGCTCTTGGTGGGAGGAAGACTATAGACAACCTCCTAAGATTGCTCTTGGATTAATGTAGAGGTTTTTCTTCCTATATACCTATGTATACTAAGACTTGGATTATTTGCAGTGTAAGGAGGTGAATCCTTACAAGCCAGCTTATTTCGTGTTTACCTGAGGATACAGGGGACTCTAAGGGTGCGCAGAGTATCTGCAGGTAATGATGGCCTTATGGTCTTGTATTGACTTTTTGCCCTAGAAAGGTTCTAATAAGCAGATAGATCTTAATACTAGGAATGATCAAAACAATCAATTATCTTATTCATAGTCTTAGCTGCAGCCAGATATAAGATTTTCACTAATCTGACAGCACGCATAAATTTTGTGATTTACCTGACCTGATTTGGCTGTTTCCCACTTTACTTGAAACCTTAAAAATATGATAATTTCTTACTATTACTACTACCTATAAATCTTTCAGTATCCTTCACTAGAGATTGCTGGAAAATATTACATACAGATAATTGATACTGTTTATATCTAATCCTAAGAAATCAACTTTGTGTAAAATTACGGGAATCCTAATCCCATCGCATGTGCGATGCACCAACCCCAGTGGGTTAAGGTCGATTCATCATGTTGTCACGCTCGCTGTCCAAAGACCTCTTTCTCACGTACCGGCTTTTAGCTCTCAAGATTGGACCATACCTTTTTAGGATGAAGGGAACAGGCGCCAGTGCCAGCAAGACAAAAGCACAGAGTGACATGGTCCATCCAAATGTGATTTTATTGACCATTTGGACAGTAAAAAGTGGGAAAACACATGAGAATGTGTAGCGCATAGCGACGTCGATAGCGAATGAGGATGCGCCCAATTCAGCTCCATAGACCTCGTTTTTGTATAATGGGTAAACAAGCTATTCGCATTTTTTTCAGTACAATATTCGTCAAATTTCCAACGGAGTAAATACCTGTGATAAAGCAAATCCTAGGCCATAGACAGCTCCACCAATAAGAGGACATATCCAGTGGATGCTAGACCGCGCCGTCCATGCAACCCTGTTTTTTCTGTTAATCTCCTTCAGTCAATCTCAGGGGAGTATCACTCGCCAGAAGAGGCTAACGGGTAACAGGATTCCCGCTATCATCGCGGCAGTCAGTGTGTCTTCTGGTTGTGGATCTGACATTTGCCTCCCTTTCATTGTCAAGGACAACACAGGTAGCGTCAACAGACTACCAATCATCAAGGGTAAGAATGCTAGTCCGACCTGATACGCCGAGAAATTATACTCGCGCTCCAGGATAATGGGCCAGCTTGCATAGAAGACAAAGACAACAATCTGGCCCATTGTGACAATAGCAGCTGTGGGAAGGATGACAGGTTCTAGTAGAAGCATCTTTACCGGTCGCACAAAGACAGGCCCAAAAGCTCCCTTGAATTTCCGGCGTGGTAGGCCCAAATGTTTTCTTTGAAGCTCAGGGCCATATGTCTCAGGCACCCATACCATAGCCAAGAAGCAGGCCCCAACAACAATGGATGTAAGCCAAAAGCTCCAGCGCCAGCCACGATCCTTAACAATTGACTCCCCTGCGACGGGTCCAATTTCGGCGGCAACCGCCCCCATGATGCCATATATTGCGAAAATAGCACTCCCCGCCTTCTCTGTTGGCAGCCACATATCATTGAGTACCCCAGCAAAAACAGTCACGCATGGAGAACCAACGATGCCGCATACGGCACGAGCAACTGCCAATGTCCGAAAGTTGTGGGACGATCCACCAACAATCGTAAAAACAACGTGCAGAAGCAGCGAAGTTTTGTATATGTAACGCCTGCCAAACTCTTCCGAGAATGCAGACGTGCACATAGGGCCAATCACAAAGCCCATTGCGTAGAAGGTTAAGGGAGAAATAGCCAATGTTAGACTTATGCCAAATTCCTGCATTACCCCTGGTATACTCGCGATATATATCGAAGTCGCAAGTGTACTGTTCCATTTAGGGAAAGTGTCCTCTGATGTCAGTCTATGCCCTTAGAGGCGTTAAAAAATTTCTATAATTCTTGAATAACTTACACTGAAAAATATGATGCAATTGCACCGAGAGATATGGCTAGCTTGTAAGCTGGCTTCCAGTGGCGAGCATCGTGCATGGCCCAGTACTGATCAGCGGATGCTCTCGGCGAATCTGAGTTGGAGAGACCCCCGCTACTAAGCTTTTCAGTGTTACAAGGGCCATCCAAATTCTCATGGTTGGGATCATAGTCAGGTTCACTGATAGAGAATTCCCGATGAGGCACTTCTGTATCATCCCTTGTCGCTACCATTGTAGCTAAAAAACTCCGAGCAATATTCCACTAGAATTGGTTGGAAAATGGAGGAACACATATATGCGAAATCAAAGACGGAGCGAAGGACCCTTGCAGTGTCCTTCCTTTTAAAATGGTTCGAGGAAATGCCACCTACTAAAAAGAGATACCTCGAGGGGCTGTGAAGGAACTACAACCGCTTTGCAAGTCTACCGTAAGTCACCAATGAGTGAATCATTCCGGATTGTTAATGATAAGGATATCTATGACATGATTGACCCGCCTACTGCTTTACAACTATACATTAGACTTGACAAGGACATGGTGGGGTGTGTTTTACTTGGTATTGCCACGGAATCGTGTAAGAATGAGAGGTTAATCGCTACACTCGAATTTACTTTCCCAGTAGACTATCTAAACCCGCGGAGAAGGTCAAATACATCATATAATTTATTACATGTACAAAGCGACGCTTTCGGAAGTTGGTCCTTATGAACTCCGATAGATGATCATATATTCCACGGATAGGAGATATGCTAGTGGGCCGAAGGGTTGGTAGATGTTGGTAAGTCCCACACACAAACCAAGATATACCTAACCATGGCTCGGGGAGAACGGAAAACGCCGAAAGAATAGGACTTGGGAACTGGTTTGAACTGAAGTTCTCCATCGCGTCCACAACTTCTCTAGAGCGGTTTAGAATGTATATGACATAGGTTGCAACGGTAAAGAGAACTCGAATATATGCCGGAAGTAATGTTTCATCCTTGAAGTAGGGAGTTATGGTAACCACGCTAGAAATGTGACATGTAGTATCAAGTAATAACATTCATCAATGAATTAATGACGTTCACAGTCATTGAGTTGCGGATTCTTCACAAGAATTTCCGCTGTGATCAATGTTAATGAAGCTCTTTCATATGACCTTGTTATCCTTGGTTCCCATAAGTCCGGAGCAATCAAGCTCAGTACCACTGTGCAAAGACAATTCTGAGACCATGCATTTCTGCACTGCTTGTAGTTATTACCTGGATCTGCCAATCATACTGGACTTACGGAGCTCGCAATGAAAGCATATGCGGCATTTTCTGTATGCGTGGCGGGAAATAACAGTAGGATTCTTTCAATATCACAAGAAGATCTTCCAATGATCTGAAAGGCTGGTGTGGAGTATCCATAATAATGTGCTGTAATTGCAGATATATTTGATTGTTCTTGACCCAAAAGTTTTACAGGGTCCTAAGCTATGAATGTGGATAGTGACATCACCACCAAATAAAAAGAGATACACACGCGTGAAGGCTTCAATATGATAGCAACCTTGCCCATTAGATGAGCTTTCGCCACACCCTGACAATTTAATGAGGATTATTTCCCTTATAATCATTGCTTGCATCTAAGTATTTTTTCAGAACATCATTTATCTGTATCACCAAAAATTTCTACATCACTAATTAAGACGATGGCAATAAACATCTATCTCCTTTCCATCAGCGCTGCTGCCGTGATAAGTTGCGTGCGTGCAGCCAGTTGATCCCTAACTATTGTGAATGCTAACTAGTGCGATGTTAAGGTTCTCTTTTTGTTCATATACCGCCTGCTATTTCACCCTCTCTCTTAGTACCCTGGACCCAAATCAGCGGCAGTAACTGATTGGTATGTTGCTTTTTATGCATGGAGGGGAGATCTGCATCTGCAAAATCGAGCATGGCATGACCAATACGGTAGGACAAACCAGGCTCTACTGTACACATAGTACCGGTCTTTCCTAATACTCTTGTCAGGCGACATAGTCAGAACAGGACCCAACACCTTGTCTTTCAACTCCCATCCAATGTTCACAGATATTTACAAGACTGGCGCCAACGTTCGTAAAGTTGACGCATGGAAAGTGTACAGCCCCAGCCGCCACAGTCCGAATATTTTTAGTGCAATCAATAAAGATGCCCATGGGTTCAAACGCCGTGTACTGAAGTCAGCATTCTCTGACCAGGGTCTAAGCGAAATCGAAGAAAAGATTATTGGGCACATTAGAAGGTTGACTGCGTGTTTTTGCCCTAAGAATATTGAATCCTTGGCCAAGGAATCAGACGGCTGGTTGTCACCGATAAATGTGGCACCTCTATGCGACTGGTTTGCTTTCGACCTTATCGGTGATATTACATACGGAAGTAGTTTTGAGATGCTAGACTCGCCTCAGAAGCGATGGGTCCGTCCAGTATACACAAAGCTATCGCATCGAGGAGCGATGGTATGTCATATTCCTTATATTGTAGTAGCTTTTCTCTCTCTCAGTCTTGACTTCCAGTATTGACCTTCTCAGTGTCTCCTGCAGCCCAAGATCTATAAGTGGAAGATAGATCAAATATTCTTTGCCCCGACGTATAATGACATCCTTTCAGCAGGCAATTGGGTATACAGCCGGGTCAAAAATCGTGCGCATGTTGGAGATGAGGTTCAAGGAAAGGATGTGTTTTCGGCTATGATCCAAGCTAAAGATCCGACCACTGACCAAGAATATAACATGAGAGATATTTGGTCAGAATCTATGGCGTTATTAGGAGCAGGTGTGCTTAACCCCGTGCATGTACATGCTATGATATCTCTGACCAAGTCTATCGGAGTATAGCTACCGAAACTACATCTGCGACCATGAGTGCGTTGTTTTTCTACGTTCTCCACGATAACGACGCCCTCTCTCGTGTCACCACCGAAATTCGTGGCACCTTCAATAGTGCAGATGAGATACACACTGGTCCTAAGTTGGACTCGTGCCAATTTCTTCAGGCTTGTCTGAAAGAGACACTGAGACTCAATCCAGGCGTGCCATTAGGTTCTCCGCGTCGTGTACTAGCTGGTGGCCTCATAGTAGGTGGCCGGCATATCCCCGAGGCAGTGACAGTGTCCTCTTCACTCTACACCCTCATGCGCAGGCAAGAGTATTTTGAGGAACCAGATGAGTTCCATCCGCAAAGGTGGATTGTAGACCCTAAGTCAGGTATTGATGCAAAGAGTGTCCGTATGGCACAGCAGGTGTTCTGTCCGTTTGGCTTCGGTGCCACATCATGCATCGGAAGGAGATTGGCCTGGATGGATATTAGCGTGGCCTTTGCAAGGAGCGTGTTCCAATATGACATGCGTATGGCGCCTGAGGCACCCTGCTGTGCGGTTACCACTACAGGAAAGACATGTGAATTTCCTTTTAAGTCGTACACGGCCGCGGTTCCTTTGCAAGGAGTTATTGTACAATTTAGAAAAAGAAAGAACTAGGATACATCATGAACACAGAGACATCAGACCTTTTAAGTCTGTCAGAAGTGTCAAGATTCAGACTAAATCCAAAAATTTTCAACATCCGGAGGCGATCGTTTAAACTTGCAAGATAGCATTCTTGGCTCGCCGCAGCTAAGACAATATTATGTAAAGTATCCTTACTGGGTATTTGACAGCGGTGACTCACACTGGTCCTTGGACATGGCTACTATGGGGGTTCACTGGAAATCATGACACCCATGGTTCAGAAGAAGTATACCCAATATTTGCCATTACAGACGTCACCTACACAAGAGCTGGAAGGCAAAAGGCAAACCCGACGCCACTAAATATCATATCTGCTGGTAATAGTCCCTTCCTATATTAGCAATTTAGAAATGCAGCAGAAAGTGTCATCGACTCTGACTAAATAAAGTCCACCATGCCTAATCCCCTCTTTATTGTATCAAGGCACCTCATTGATACCAGTATATTCGATAAATCGACAATATCCTCGAGCAACCACGGTCTATTAGACAAAATCATGGTAATAGCAACTACTCTAACCACGATAAACCTATATAATATTAATATATAGAATAAAACAAGATCTCTAGACTATAAATACACTGTTCTTATATTTTTATCTAATTTTTTGGGATTTATATAGTTGGTGAAACTTGGACAGACCAAGATAGAAAAATAATTATACAATCTTAAAAAATATATAATAATAATACAGTCATTTATTATTATTTATATTAGAACAGGTTTATTTACTAGATTAGATTATAATTTCATACTAAATTCTATTATAATTATAATTTTTCTTTGAACTTATACACTAGATTATCATATAAGTGGTATATTATAATCAATAGTAATTATATAAAAATTTCGTCTTTCCAATATATCTTATAAAACCCTAAATTCCTAATTTAATTATAATATTTTATACTAGCTTACTGGTTTTCTGGAATAATAAAAAATAGATATTTATTACTAATTTCTTGATTTTAATAGGGTATATTATATTTAATAAGATCATTAAAGTGGCCTTGTCTGACCGTTATACCTTACCCGTAACCTGATCACCGGTTAACGGTCAGGTTAAGGTAGAAAAATCTCTTAACCGTGTTATGGCGTCATGGGGAGCGGTGTTCGGAAGCACGTGACCGGATCACATGATATAGTTCTGTTTGCTTTATTTATTTTGTTTTATTTATTTATTTTTATTATTTATATATATTCTTCTATACTTCCTTCTAGACATGGCAGGGCTCGCGAGCTTAATTCACTAACCCGGGCTCGCCAAGTATAATACTAACCTAATTAGGCAAGAATTCTATCTAATAAAGAAAATAATAGACCTAAACCCTAATCTACTAATCCTAATCCGGTGAACACTAATCCTATCAGATAAATTTAAATCTTGGCAAAGCTCGCGAGCCTATTCCGGGCGAGTCATTTCTTAAACTAACGAGCCCGATACCGAGCCGAGCCTGGCTAATCAGGGCTCAGGCTCGAGGTCGGGCGAGTCCTAGACCCCCTGAAACCCGCCCGACTCGCCCGAATACCATGTCTAATAGAAACAGTCCTTCTACATCTAACTATTAAATTAAAAATAATTAAAAATAATTATATTAATATATTTATATATTTATAAACAAAGATAAGAATCGCCAGGATAGATAGGTATTAATCTAAGTATATTTTATCTGCATTAAAGACTAAAATAGTATAGCAGATGGACCTTAATATTTAAAATAGTTAAGACAGTTAATTATCCTATTTTTAACTATTCCGCGGCCAGGTATAAAATTTCTGATTAACCTGACCTGACCTGACCTGGCTGTTCGCCACTCTAATGCTGAATATGAATATTTATAGAAGATATCTCAGTAATTTTATACAGGATATTACTTTCTAGTCCTCGCTGATATAACCTTGGTATGAACTCAAGAATGGGATCTTGACAATTCCCTGTCCCGTTTTCTCAAAGAGCAGGCATAAGGAGTCCCTATCTTCGTCATCGCACTCCGGTGCTGGCCTTTCCCACTCGGGGCGTCCATAGTCATACTCAATATACGGGCTGGGTCCGTACCCATCATAGCAGGCCATGTACCTATTTTCCCGCAAGCAGATCTTGACTTCAGCCTCCTTCTCAAAAGGGACGCCGTTCCGCCAGTCATTGCTTCCAATCAGGAACTGCCTCAAATAAGGTAGCTTTGTTCGGAAGGAGTCGAAGTAATCATGCCACCGCTTATTGTAAGAGCAGTAGTACTCTACCTGCACCTGGCCATCTAGCCCTCGACGGGTTTCCATCTCGCTCTTCTGGAAGGGTCCCCAGTGGAGATGCTCCTCGGCAAGGCACACATCGTATAATATTGCGCAGTCGTCGAAGGATAGATCAGTCAATGTGGCTGCATGCGAGAGAATCCATTCCAGCTGAGAGTCCCGCACAAAGCAATAATTACCAAACGCGAGGGATTTGAGGTGCGGAAAATGTACCTCGCTTAGTTCCAGATTTGGGTAGAAGCCGAAGTAGTTGTCGCAGGAGAGAGTCAGATGCTCCAGAGATGACGCGGAGGGTTTCAGCCACATGGATGGAAGTTGCGCGAAGAAGTTATGGGGCTCAGGGAATTCAAGGTCATCCTCCGGGGCGGCGTCATTGTGCTCTGTCACGATGCTTAGTCGGAGAGTACGTATATTCTGCAGCACTTCCCTGATATTGGCAGATATTTCTTCATCGCCGACATTCACATCCTGCATGTTACGAATCCCGAGTTCGCGCAGAGGTTCTTCAAATGAGGCCAGCCATTTAAAGAACACACGAATGGTTTTTGTGCGGAAGGCGATGGTCTCTGGACTCTCTCTCATCCATTCTACGCGGCCTGTGCTACAATGCTTATCAAACCGCAAGACAGCACTTTGCACATTTGGGCAGTCTCTGAAGTTGGCAATTCTGGCCTTGAACTCTTTGGTCAATGCGACTTCCTCCTCGTCATAGTCGTCCTGGGCCTGTTAGCGTGCGGCCGGCCCGCGGGGGATAGATATGGACTGACATAGTCATCTTCGCATGTATTAATGTACACCTTCTTGACCATTTTCTTCAGTGTTGCATGATTCATAATTCGATCGACAGCCTCATAGCTCTCTTCGTCCGGAAACAGACGCAGAGTGTCAAATAGCCGTGGAGTAGCAAAATGTGAGAGAAGGTGACTCGTTTCCCGGATAGCCTTCAGGGACGACCGGTCAAGGAATGAGATGATGCGAGCGAGGAGCTCACTTGGGAGAACAGTGATAAAAACCATGTTCCATGAGCGATTTATTACATCAAAGTCAGGATGTACCTCACCTTAAATGCTGGGTGAGCCCTGAATTGACAAATATGTCTATTAATGTTGATAGGGGGGCCGAGCCCAATACGATTGTCGTCTAAACTGGATCGAGCATGGCTTTGCCGCAGCGGCCCTTGGCACCATGTAGGCTTCCATCTGGATGGATTGCTGCCTAGACGGAATAGCTGCACGTGGATCAGAAGTGGACAAAAATATTTATGGCAGTTGCTGATTATTATTGAAATCAGACATGATTCCTATTGGTCTAGGGTCTCTATATATTTTCAACAACTATCAACATCCCTGTTATGTCACCTGACTCTCACGGGTCCTGTCAACCATGTGCGGAAGGTCACTTCTGACATACAGATGTCTCAAATCAATAAAAAAGTTATAACGCTTGCATAACGAGCATAAATACAGAAGTACTTTGAAGCAGAACATCAAGTAAATCAAGCGCTTATAATATGTTGAGGCAGCTGCTGGAGTAGGCGTAGTCACGTGCCTGACGCTCAGGCCGCCCACAGACGGCCTCCTGCTTTGTTTTACTAGAGTATCTGAATAGCTACAAATTTAACTTATTCTTTTATTGTATTTTTGCGCGTTGTTTCAATTGCTTTTTTTGTTATTTTTATTGCTTGCTAATAATCATGTGTTTTAATAGGTTATGAGCCCGGGCTTCCTTCCGTGAAGCTATTTAAACCTGTATATCATGGATCCTGATTCCAAACGAAGCGGAGGGCCTACGGCTTTTATAAGTAATAAAAATAAATAAAAATATACTAGTCTTAGAAAATTATCTTAATCTGATTTAAATATCTAATTTAAATATCTATGATATTGAAAAAATATATTATTTAATATATTTGTCGGATCTACCTGTGATAGAATAACCTAGCTATTGGGGCCTTGGGCGCCGGGATGACGTATTATAGTACTTATGGGAGTCGTGAGGTCATCGATAATAGTTCCGCAGCTTATCGACACCTAAAAGGTGTCGATTCCTCTGCAGTATGCGACTGATCCCCCAAGAATCAGTCTATCTTGTGGATATAGGCTACCTTTGTCATTATTAGACCAATCTATTGCGTTTAGGGGCTGATTCCTTACCTAGTCGACAGGCTTTCTACCCTGACAAGTAGATCCTATCACACTACCCGTGCTAAGCACACTAATTTGGCGCTATAATATATATAATAGAATAAAGTATTATATTTAAAAAAAATCTCTGATCTAGATAACTTTTATAAAAGTAATTTTTGAAATAAATTAAGTACTGATAATTTCTTTAAAAAATCTATCTAAATTACTGATTTTACTGAAGAAATACTTTAATTATATTAACTGGAAGTTCTATTTAAAATATATACTTAAAAATACTAGTGGTGACACCTAGGGAGATGGACTGACGATCGTCAAAAGATTCTTATTATTCTTATTGTCTTCCTTGTCTTAACTATCTAAGTCGCTTGGAGGTTGGCCTTCCTTACCGTCGGGCGGTAACTTACGGCAGAACAGGTGTTCTGTTTGACAGTTATTACATAGAATAATAAATAAGATTTATCTAAGTATTATGGGCAACACAACAACTTCCCCCTCATCAGATAAAAAGAACGAACAGAGAACAAGATTAGAGAAAGAAAAAGATTAGTTGACATAATTCAGTCAGTTATCTAA